ACAAAACATTTTGAAAATCTGGTGAAGAGCAGTTCTTGGTGTTTGAAATGTCACATTATCTTTCATTGTTGGGCTGTTTTAAACTGACCACGTGTTCTTTTCTTGGCTTGCATGTGCCTTGCATTTTTAGTTTATACACAGAACTTTAAAAAGATGCATGCACTGTGACCCTTTAGTGGGTCACAGTGACACATCAGTTCTATCCCTGTGTTAAAAATTTACATCAACAGCCCATTATAACATAGGTGTTCGTAACTAGAACCCAGGATTTTAATGTACTGTTGTGGCTGTGTCTGTGACCCAGAATTTTGTGTTTATTTTTGCATTTGTGATTTATTATGTTATATTGAAATGATGTTAAGATCTAGGGATTATCATGTGTTTGCCTTGAGTTTCGTGTCGTTTATGTTTCTCCTAAGTCTTCTGTGTTACTCTCATGAATTTCTTGTCTGTGTGCTTCATGTTGTCTAGCCGGTGTTATGTCACATGTTTCACGTTTTGTTTTTTCCTGTTTGTCTTGTGTTTCTTTGTTCAGTGTGTTTAATTTTACTCTTCCCTGTAACGTCACTATGTTCATTTGTGTCAGCTGTTTCCCCATGTGTTTCCACTTCCCCTGATCACCTCCTGGATGTATTTAAGTCCACTGTCTTTCTTTGTTCAGCGTCAAGTCGTCGGTGTTAATTCCCTCTGCGTCACGTCAGGTTAAGAGTTTTTCAAGATTCTGCTCAGTTCATGTTTTTTCATCATAGTTATTTGCATGTTCCTGCTCAGAGTCATGTTCCTGTCTGTAGTCATAGTTATTATAGTTTAATCATAATAACCACAGTGTAGTTTCCCGAGTTTAGGTTTTAGTTCAGTTTTTGCCCTTATTTGCCTTTTGTATTCAGGTTTAATCAGCCTGAATAAACGGCTCGCTTTTTGTTTGAAATGCAGTTTCGTCTCTTTTTCACGCTACACGCCGTCGGCTCCCCCTGGCTGTGACAATCTATTGGGGGCAATTGTAACAGTTTATTGTTATTATTGTTTTCTTTAAAAGGACATATTCCACTACACTATGAAAAAGCATATTTTGTGTAAAATAGTGGGGGGGTTTAATGGGTTAAAACAATATTAGCTTACATATGGACAGGAGAAAAAGAAAGCAACAGTTTGCAGGTATATTCATGACATATACAGGTGAAGCATGTGAGAAATAAATAAATACATGTCATCCATTTATTTCGGGTGCTTTTAAACTAATATATCAACATGTTTACATGATCTTATTATGTTATTTTATCAAGATCTGTTATGCCATCTGCCATATCTGTTGTCAATACTAACATGAAATACGTTAGAAACTTGTTTCATCAAAGCATTATCATACATTTAAGTCACCTGTACTTGTATTTAGTATGTTGACTTAAAATCGAATTACCACTAGAATAGCTTCCAGGTTTTTCAAGTCTTTGTAGGCTTTGGCACATCCTGCAGTACCCAACATTTAAACAAATTTTAAAGTATTTAAGCTATATCATTAGATACAATTGCAGCAATGTGATTACCTGAAAGATTGCTTCTTTTTGAGATATAGTGGCATGATGACTTTTTATATAATAATAATGGATTGCATTTATATAGCGCTTTACAATTCCACTATTCATTCACACACTGGTGGAGGCAAGCTACAGCTGCCCTGGGGCAGACTGACAGAAGCAAGGTTGCCATATCGTGCCATCGGCCCCTCTGGCCGTCACCAGTAGGTGAAGTGTCTTGCCCAGGGACACAATGACCGAGACTGTCTGAGCCGGGGCTCGAACCGGCAACCTTCCGATCACAAGATAAACTCCCAACTCTTGAGCCACGATTGCACCGATCATGTTTGTACACACCAAGGGAGCCATTTATAACAGTCTGACTTCCTGGATTAAAAATAATATTGCAGTCTTGTCCTTATTAGTAAAAAAGGAAACACCTATTGTACTGCTAGTTAGCGTACATATATATGTTCCTTTTCTCAATAAATGTTACAATAGTCCTCGGGCTTCCCTGCCAACAGCTGGGAGCAAAACAGATTCAACGGACAGACGAAGACGGCACATTTAAATGAGTCTTATCACTAAACAGTGTATATGTGTGTTGCTTTGTTTGAAAAGGGAAGAGAGTGACATGTTTTTGTTTCCCACTACACTAACTCTCTGATAATGATGGTGGTAATACCCAAAGGCCAAGTAACCTGATATGACCTGTTGTCAAACAAAGAGTGACACTAAGACTTTGGTTTGTTTAAGCTACACTAAGACAAGTGTTTGCATAAAGGGAGGGTGTTAGTCACCTAAAATGCACAGCAAAGAAGGGAACACTATGGTTAACAATGAGGATTACTGTACGATGGACTGAAAGCACCAGGTCATATCTTGTCTATGCTTTGTTCTGGCGAATATCATGGACACAGGTATGGTTCTGGGGACAGACTCTATTCATCTGACTTTTCTGTATATTTCTCTATACATTGGGTTTCTTCTGAATGTTTCGTGTGTGCATGTAGAGTCTAGAGTCTAATGTTTGTCAGCTTACCAAGTCTTGAGTTTGCTAGGATGAGCTTAACAAACCATTTAATTTACCGTTATGTTGTCTCTCTTAAGTTCTAATAATTTCCATGCGTATATTTTTTAGGCACCCCCTTCCTTATGTATGTTTATGGATGGACTCTTGCTATAGATATCAAAAGAAGCATAACAGCTTGCAGTATAGCCACAACATTAAAACCAATGATCGATTGCAGATATAGCGCATCAGACCAGTGGCAGTCTCCAGTCAGGACACTGCCACATCACAAAATAAAGAAGAGCCTGGGCTTGCAGACTTTACAGATCCCAACGCAGTCAAGCAACCAGGAGGTGTGCCAGAGCAAGCCCGATCCACAGAGGCCCCACTAATGTCCTTTTCAAAGAAAAGATCATAATGATGAGGGAATAAAATAATACTTTTGATACAGTGAAACAATAACATGTGAATCCAGTGTGAATTATGTGCTTTAGGAAAATGAAGCAAACAAAGTCAGACTGATACCAAAAGTCAATATTGCTCTTCAGTCTTATCTTAAGCAGTATGTCTGTGTTCACATCCATATTTACAGGAAACTCCCCTCCTAGAAACTTGATGGCACAAATAAATGTTCTTTCTCTCTTTTGGCTCAATATAATACAGATTTCTGTTCCTGGATAGCTTAGTGAACATGAATGTTTCTGTAGGAACTAAATAGAGTAGTGCTTCAGATTTGCCCATGTTCTGTTTTTAAATTAAATTATTAGGTCTCATTATGGACCTTAAATCCATGGCTCAAAAGAACCTGATGTAAAAGATGCCAGAACGCTGCTGCAAGAGAAAGAAAACCCAGAAACAACCACACATCTGATTCAAGCTTCTTCCCCAAATTAATCGAACCACAACTGAAAAAAGGATTGCCACTAACTTTCTACTCAACTCATAATTAATAAATAATAAACACAACTGCAAAAGTAACACAGGAATAATGCCTGTGCTGATGGAGGTGAGGGAGCAGAAGCTCCAGCTTCTTGGGTTTTATATGAGCGAAGGTGAAACTTCTGCAGCCAATCAGCACTAGGAATAAATCTGAAGCTTAAATGTAACTGTAGAAAGTTAATGACAGGATGACAGATGTACTGGTACACTGGGGCAAGTGTAACACTTATATTATTGAGCTCGTCACATAAAACACATCTCAGCATAAATAATTAAATACCAAACTGTAATAGCAAATGGCACAGAGTTCATTACAGCAGTGCCACATTTTCTCTGCTTGTTTTCCCTGCTCAAAACCAATAAAAAACTTTTTTAAATAAAACACAACAAAGCTCACAGAGCTTGTTTAGATCTTTAATATAGAAACATGTGAATGATATGTATGGATTACAGTAGAGTACTGCTTTTTTATGGATGCTGTGGAGGTGGCTTAGTTTACATGTCTTAACAGTGGGAGTGAGTGATGTTCATTTTTTTTATTGTATGTATATAATGTATGACTATCAGTTTCAAGTTGAGCTCTGGGCAGTTGTTATTGTATAGTTTCCATTGCATATAAAATACCAGGCAGTCATAACCCCTACAGCATTCACCGCAGTAGTCCAAATCAGCTGTGAGTGTTGCTAGAGTTTTGCCCTCTTCATCACAGCAGCCTGTGCCAACATCAGTAAGCGACCCTGCCACTTCAGCCAGAGTCTTAATTCATGATTGCCCAGTCCTAACTGGTGCACCAAAGTAAGTTTCCCTGTTGAGCCCCTTCTGCTTCAAATCATTGAGAAGTGTTGAAAAGAACACCGAAACTCTTATGTGATGCAACCAGAATAGTTCAGCAGAAAGTAACATGTTAATTTAAGAGTTGATTACTCAAACTGTAGTGAGAGGCCAACCGAGGACATAAAGTATGTTTTTAGTCCCTTTTAATACATATTCATGAGGGTTAAAAGCTCAGAAACTGGAATCTGTAAAGCTTTTTCAATATGTATTTAATCTGTTTCTCTGTGCTTTGTGGTGAAGATTATTTTGGAAAGTTGTCTGTTGCGTGATTAAAATCTCCTTCCACTTCTGCATATTATGTTACAGCTTGTCTAGCCTACAAGGCTCCCTAACCTCTAGTTTGATCCCCAGTATAATTACAATCTCTATCTCCAACTGGGGGAATGACCTTTAATCTGATTAATTTAATCTGTATGAGGCGAGCACATGGGCAGATCAAGAACTGTTGACAAAGCCTGTTAACATATCAGTACTGTTTGTTTACAGCAAAAGTAACCTGCGTTTTGGTGAAATGAAGTATATATGAAAATGCACCACAATATACTGTTTTATTAATGAATTATGTGTAGAGATGGTAGACATATTTTTAGAACCATGACAGTCTAAACAATCCTCAAATTAATCTGTCAGACTTTGCTAAACTTTGTGTATTCGGTTCAGATGTATTGCTACTTATAATTTTGTAACTTTTTTTTCTCCAGATGAGATCATGCAGCTGGACAGCTGTCCTCTCCGCGCTGCTGACATCACTCCTGACCTGCAAAAGAAGTTTGCCTTCCTTTCAGGTCAAATTGCCATGTCTTTTTTTTGTCTTCCTTTTTGTTTTGTCTGTCTGCTTCACCGGATCTGGGTTCTTTGTCATTTTGTTTGCTATTTTTCAATGATCAGCACTCCTCTTAAATTTTTCATAATTCAGCTGAACAGGACAGCTTTAATTTGCCATTCAAATTTCCCCTCTATCGGTTTCCTCTTCACGGTTTATCACGTTACGGCCCATGCTTCATTGATACTGTTACCTGGAATTTTTGGACTTACCGCCTCTGCATGTTAGATGTTTTCACCTCCAAAAAAGTGTATTTTTAGCATCATTTTAAAGACATTTCAAGCTACAGCAAGTCCTACAGTGACAAAAATCCTGTCCAAGAGGCGACCTTGTGGCTGTGGCAGAATTGAGAAAACATTTTGCAGACAAAGATCTAAGCAGACGTTGAAACCATGACCATGCACTTGCTGTTGCTATAGTGATGAGGGAAGGAAAAGGCAGAGATTTATATTCTAGTCATGAGTGCTGACAGAGCAGCTGTTTCACACAGGGACAGGCATGCGCGTGCGTGCGTGCGCGTGGTGAGACTGTTGTTGTCAACGTTATTCACTGTGTGCAAACACTGAAGCATCCCTCTGTCTCATATCATTTTATTATTTTTCTATCCTTCCATCTTTAATTGTTATATAATCTTTTGTCATCATCTTATTGAGAGTGAGAACACTCAAATATTTCTTTTTTGTCATTATTTCATGTAAATGATCTCTGAGTCTCAAAGTCTCAAACCTGAGGCAACATTTAAATCATGTGCTGGAGATCAGTATTGGAGAAAACATGTATTTACATGAAACCAGTGGCTTTTTGCCGATTGTCTGTTGAAGAGAACGAGAGCCTACAAGACTATATTTTTTTTATGTGAATATATAGTATTTTTTTCTGTCCAGTCTCCAGTATCACAATCTAGTCTTCACATCAGTGCCCCCTTGTGACTGCATTTTTCGTTCTATTCTTATGTCCTATTAAACATAAAGCATTCTTACAGAACCCCCTATTTTATCTGGAAAGTTTCAGTGTATCTTGTTTTCCTTTTCTTAGGAGGAAGAGGAGATAATGGCAGCCCCATCATTGTGTTCCCAGAATTCCCTGCATTTGGGGAGATCACAGACAAGGAGTTTCACAACGTGTTGACCTACCTGACAAGCGTCCCAAGGTAAAGTCTGAACTTTTTCACCTCTAAAGTCTCATCTCGCTCACCCTGTGTCACCTTTCCCTTGGTTTCTCTACGGTCATTGCAACAAAGTACTGCTGATGAACATATCCAGGTTTATGGATAAACCATGTGGCCCAGACAGTATCAAATATTATGTAATAAAATAGAAAGGCTTTGAAAGTGGCTCAAACTAGGGAAGTTTTCATGCTGATCACCTGAACTGAAACTAGAGGAAGGATAGTGATGTACTGGAAGGAGTGTATGAAGTCTGCCAGTAGATGGCAGTAGTTAACTTATTACAGCCTCACTCTAGAATTGCTCAAAGAGGAAGACTCAATTACCTCATAGCTTTGTATAAAAGAAGAGGGCCAGTTGGGATTCCTGCGGACACTTTATTTTATAAGTGTTCTTCAGTTCAGTCTTTGTCCACATGGGCAGAGCAGATGTCGAGAGAAGAGGAAAAAATTTGCAGAAGCAACCGTTTCTCCAAATTTCTTTTATAATCAATACCTGGCTCTTTAAATCATGATTTTTTTTTATGTTTTTTGATTTAGCTTATCATCTTGTATGTCCTGCTTTCCCTTCATTCTGCCTGAAATTTCTCATTGTGTATAAATAGAAACCAGCAGTGATTCTAGCGGGTTGAACCTGAATAATGCATACAGCTAACCAGAGGGGGGGGGTGTGTGTGTGTGTGTGTGTGTGTGTGTGTGTGTGTGTGTGTGAGAGAGTGAGAGACATGGCCACTTGCTCACTGAGGCATGTCTCTGTATCCATGTGTCTGCAATGGCCTTTAGTCACAGCACAGCTTTTCTTCCGTTAACAGTGGAGCTTTAATCACTTGAAGTAAATACAGAGTTAGTTGGCCAATGTTTGGCTAACTTTATTTCAGTATGGGCTTAATTTTCCTAACTGGATACAATTTAGGTAATGCACTTACTTGTTGGTCACTCTGTCAAGTGAGTGAGGGTCAGCCACAGGGTGAGATGGTGCTGAGCCAGCCTCAAGCTGTTCTGAATGCACAGACAGATGGCTGGAGATACCTGAGGGACTGACACCACGAATGAGGCACACAGAATCCAGGGACAAATGTCTGTTCTGACCTTGGACAGCTGCTGTTTGTTTGAAATTAATACCACAGGATCGATATTAATTGTAGACATAATTTCTTATGTTGATACTCTCATACATACGTACGTGTGCATGCTTGACTGGCTGGTTGCTGGGATGTGTTGACTACTAAACTAATTTGGGTCTTGTCTTGTGAATGAAGGAATCTAATTAATTGACTCTATTCTTTGCATCCACCAACACTCAGAAAATGAACCCGTAAATGGTTTGTGTATCTTGGGGAATACAGTCAGCAGACAGACTGTGGGGGGAGGGGCATTAAGCTGGTGCACTCTTAAAGTGGACATGAAACACTACGTATGAAGGTTAAGACCATGGAGCTCTACTCTTAAAAGAATTGTGATAGATTTAACAGTCTGTGACTGTGAAGTGTTTAAAGCTACAGGCTTTAGCAAATGCATTGCAACATCTTGTGCCAGTACAGAATGTGATGTCACAGGGTTGGTGGGTTGGTTGCTGCTAATAGACTTAGATTAGTTTATGTAAAATAACTAGTGAAAGAAGCGATAACTCAGTGGAAAGCAAGGAAGCTAAAACTAAAAAGCAGTTTATGGTGGCTACTTTATTTTTACTGTCTTTTTCACTCTCTGCGTCTTTTTCACTAACTGATTCTTTATCGTTGGCTAGCTGCACCGAAACAGGAGAATCCACTTGTTAGCCGTAATGTTAGGGTTTGCAGAGTACTTTATAAATAACGACTGCATGGAGGAAATCCAGTTTACAGCATATAACATTTACTACATGCACATCACAACACAAGCATAACTACGTTTTTTTACCAAAGCACAACTGGGAATGCCAATCTCCATCAGAAGGTCCGCAGCAAGGTCCAGATATAAATGAGGTCACTTACATTTGGACCTTGTTTTTCCTCACTTCTTGTATGAATTTCTAATATGGCACATCCAGTGTCTGCAGTGGTTCCACTACTCTAGGGGACCTACCAATGCTTGCCAAAATGAAAAAAATGCCTATATAACAGCAAATATGATCTTGGATTTAAGCTCATTTTGGGTTTAAACCCAGTAAATAAACACCATGTCCAGCTTTCACTGAAATCTGCTAATATTTCTAAGTAGAACAGCAGTTCTTGTGCCTTATAGAGGGATGGATGAACAGATACGTTGCCATCACATAACTTCATCAGTCCTTCAGCCAGATCTCGTTACACTATGTTGACACAGACAATTTGAATACAAGTTATTGTTTTGCATCGTGTTAAATAAACCAGTATAAAGCATCAAATAATTATAGTTTGTAATTCTTCAAAAACCATGCAAGGACCTTGAGAACTGGCCTGAGGAAATTGAACTCTCACCTTTAGAATGAGATAATCAGTGAACAGAACATTCTACATTCGTTATATTACTATAGTAAGTACGGAAGTAATTATATATGACTTTTAATGTCTTCCTCATATCACACTTTGCAGACTGATGCCGAAAATAAAATGAAACCTCAGTACTTCCACAGACAGTTTCACTCTAATGTGACCATTCAAATAGTTAAATGTCTAACGTCACATGTGAGAATGTTCAATACTTCAATTTTCTTGAAACAGGAGCTTTACTGACCTCTTGAAATTCCTCATAAAATGTTGTTCACTGTTTTAAATGTCAACTACCACTCATGTGTTCAGCTGCTAGTGAGGGGAGGGGTTCTGTGCCTGCTCTATCCACAACTGGTGGACCCAAAGATCGCACTGTTGGTTTTGGTAATATTTTGAGTATCTAATTTTGTAGTCATTTTTAGTAGCGATTAGCATCCGGATATCAATTTTTGTGACAATACTGATGGAATGCTCCCTCCTCAGACACATTAGCCAGGTACCTATAAGCAGGTCAGCTATGTTTTGGCAGTAGGTCTCAAAATTGGTGTGATTGGTTTTGTCTGAACATACACAGATTGTGTGATATTCCAACAAAGACACAACTACAATTGTTAGTGTGTACAATCAAATTGTAAGCTTTTTGTTGATAACGAAAGACCAAAGAAAGAAAGAGAGGCCCAAATGACTTCTCTGAAATCATACCATCTCTGATCTAAGTCTATATTAATTTGGTCTTTGCTAGAGAAAATCATTTCAACTTCATAATACATTAAATTAACATGGATACAATCACTGCGAGAAAATCCCCCTTAGAAGTCAGGCGAATGGTCTTGTTTTCATAAGCATAATCCAAATTAAAGTTTATTTTAATTTATTTTGTTTCTTATAGATTCACAAATTAACAATTGGTTTGCTTCTTATTTATTATATAACACAGATGCACATTTCTTTGCCCTGTTAAAAGACAAGAGGAGGCCGGAGCTGTACCATGCATGTTATGTGTTGCATATCCACTAAACCAGGAGACTCATCCCATCACTGCAGTGGCTTTGGGCAAAAGCTTTTTCACAGCTCGACTCACAGCTCGAGGTGCTTCTGTACCCTTTGTCATAAGAAATCCAATTATTAGAAGGACACTCATGGATGCGCAGCCCCCAAAGCACCAGAAAATATCTATGAATATTTAAATGAGTAGTGTTTGCAAAAAAATTTATAGCTACACAAAAAACTGTACATCCACTTATTCACATTTACCTTCAAATTTCTGCTAATACTTTACTTTAAAGTTGTGCTACTACTTGATAGGCCAAATGATTAAATTTCCCATCCCCTGGCAGTGGATGTTCAGCATAAACCACCCTCTTATTTTAGGAGTCATAAATGTCTGAAAGGATGAAAAGCTCTTGTCTCACTTTACCTCTGCACATGAGTTGTAAAGCAATGACTGTGTGAAACTGCAGGGGTGAAAAGTGAGGATGATAGAGGAGGAGAAAAAGGAAAAGATGAAAGGGGAAGGAAGTGTCATGAGTAATTTAATGTAAATGATACAGTAAGTAACAGCATTAACTAGAGAGGCAGACATGAATAGATTTACTAATACTGCAAGCTTTGGGTGCACACTGTAAATGTTCTTCAGAACCTCACTCACATCTGTTTTGATCCGTTGATTGGCTAATAAAGCTGCCCGTTGCTATGCACCCTTGGTTTGGTTGGCTCTTATTCCAGCAGCTCTCAGCTCTCATTGGTTAGCGCACAGATGCAGTGAAGGGGGTGCAGAGTCTGGATCCTGGAATGGTCTTAAACATTTGGCTGCCTCTGCTTCAAACAGCACAACACACTGGGATCTGCCTCCTCTACTGTGTTTTCATTTTGCCTTCATTGTTACACGGACCGCTCTTTTTTTAACTGCTGCCACCTTGTCTACGCAGTCAATAGTTGCAGAATGAAAGATGTGAAAACAAATACTTGAAGCTTACTGGAATATTTCTGCTTGAAAGGTAATGACGGTGCTTTACCACTACCTGAAACAGGATGCACATGTTTCAGGTAGTGTAGATAGGATTCTGCTGGTAAACTGCACGTGCGGCCGTCAGTAGTTGTTGTCAGTGTTTACCCATCCCCTCCCCATTTCTACTGGGACCACAAAGGAGAGCAGGGGAATGGGGGAAGTGAGGGCTGGGGGCTGGTGGCCAAGAAATCTGGAGGCGCTTCACAGTATCTCCTTTTATTGATGGCGCCAGCTGTCTAAGAAGATAAAGAGCAGCACAACAAAACTGAAATCTGTGAACAGGCACTTGGCTTCACTTCTGTGCCATAGAGAATTTTTTTCCCACCTCTTAAAGCTCTTGTGTTTAAAGAATTCCCTACTTGTCTGTCGTTTGGTTGTAGTACAGGCTGTTTCCATGTAAAACAAACAAACAAACTGATATGACATCCTCCACATTCACTGTGCTGCTAACTTTCTCACCCTTGAACCATCAAGCTGGTCACAACAGATCTGTTTAGTTTGTGCTGAAAATGTTTCCTCCTTGTGTGTTCCAGCTTGTCGTCAACAGGCGTGGGGTTCATCCTGGTGATTGATCGCCGGCAAGACCGATGGGCAGCTGTAAAGGGGACCCTGCTTCGTATTGCAGTAAGTTTGTCTTTGCCTCTGCAGATCTGAGCATGCACTTGCCTTCTGCATGAGTCTCACTGGGACAGAAACAGATATTTCATCAGCTGTGAGAGTGAGGGGACCGAGGTTTGACAGGAACTGTCCGTACACCATCACCCATGGGAGGATGAAGCTTATTAGGCCTCAGAGAGATGTTGTAACTTCCTCTACTTAACAGCTCCACCACTAATATATGAGAAAGCACAGCCATAAGCTCTCGACCATTACCATCACAGCCAGTGTTTTCACAGCTATGGGGAAAAATAAGCTGAAAATACAGCAGAATGTGTTTGTTTTGTTCACACATTCGTTCAAATCTCTCACTCATCATCTTGGCTTTACATTGATTGATATTTGGGCCTCTATTATAAACAATTGAGTAAATTAGTATAAATGAGTCACTTAAATGCTGCTCACAGTGGCTTAAAGGACTCCTGCACAACCTACTAAGCAAAGTAGCCTTTTGTATGTTTTTCAGCTGCTGCATGATACATCAGGATAGAGGGAACTTCTGATATAATCTCTTCCATTGCTCATTAATCCTGCTTCTTTTTAGATGGAAAACTGACACTAACAGAATAAGGAGAATGTTATTTTGGAGCATGTTTCATTTGTCCCAGGCTTTACTTGTGTACAGTGAGCCAGAGTGTCTATATGATCATCCATGTTTCAGGCTTTCTGTAGGGAGTTGATGAAGCACTGGCAGCGCTCCATAGTGTATATAGATGGGGGTGGGAATCACCCTCTTACACAATCTCTCAGTATTGTTTAACTGGAGCTAAACCAATGGACTGCTGACAAGCACCATGATTCATATACTAATGAAAGAAGGCCACTTTTCTTTGGCTTAGTAGCTTCTTTATGTAACAAAAATGAGCTACTGTGTTGATCTCCAGTATCATAGAATTGCTCCACTGGAATCAAAAGAATCTCAGGATTTTTCAGACACGGCAGATGACAAAGATGGTGTGTAGGACAGTTTTCCTTAAGGAAATCTACATAGAACAGCATTTTTTGTGTGAAGCAGATCCTCACGTGTCTATTGAAAACACTGAAGGAGGCAGATGTATAAAAAGATGAAATGCCTGAGTGGGAGAGCAAACGATGGCTATTACCACCCACTGTCTCCAGAGATATGGGAGACCCACTCAGTCATTTCAAATTAAATCAAGCTTTATTAATCCCACAAGGCAGACTTTTACAGGTTGACAGGCTGGTAATAAGGGGCCATTCAGTCAGCCCTGTACTAATACTCTGCTTGAAGTGATTCCACCAGGCTGTTAAATACGTGGTGATGAAAAGTGGCGCTATCTGTAGAGTGGAGGTTCTTCCGTCTGTGTGTTGGTCTGTGTCTGTGAGAAAATAAGGCGGCTGAGGAGTGATGCTCTTTGTCTTTTGCTGTGCATGTGCATGTCTATGTAGATGTGTGTACTCGTGCATATGCGGGCTTGTGGGCCTGAATGTGGGTCAGTGTGTTTTTGAGGACAGCTGAGCTGAGTCTTATGAGAGAAAGTGTTTGTAGACTGGTCTTAATTAAGTCTGTCACTACCTAAAGCTTGTCATTTATCAGGCTCCTCCTGAGGCGTGTGTGTGTCAGCCATTGTCAAAGAGCAAGTAGTGCATGACTGCCAGAGACAACAGATCCAAGCAACATGGATGAATGCTTGGAAGCTAAGACTGGATATATAATATAGTGTCAGCTCCCAAAACTGTCTGTAGCCTTTAGCCTATGAGAACTTTAATTTAAAGAAGATAACCTGCTGCACATGAATATATAGTTATATTTCTAAAAATATATATTTTTAATTCCTGCGACTGTTTTAGAAAACACACTGTGTTAGTTGGACTATATTTAGCTAGTGCACTAGGACTCACAGCAGTGCCTTTGTTCAATGTATTCTCTGAAGGTTTAACAATACATTACATTAAAGTTCCTAACAGCTATTCTGGATTCTTACCAGGAATCGGATATATCAGGCTTTGCTACACACAGGCTCAGATATTAATTTGCATATATATTTCTTAGGATTTTGGTTTTTTGATGGTGATAAAATATAGAATCTTACCAGATTTACCATTTACTCGTTTCAGATTTGTTTCTGCACAAGACTGCCAGATCCATTAATCATAAAATAATTAATAACAGGCCTGTTTTGTGATAACACCTACCACTAACAAACAGAGCCATATGTTCTGCAGATTGCATGATTCATCTCTGCAGATGGTGAATGACCATTTTAACCAGTTATCTTCCTTCTTCCAGCGGGTCAGTAAGGACAAACAATGGATTGATTTATTAATCCCATTAATAATGCTGCTCCCAAGAGAATTTCTTTTATGAACAATGTATTCGCTCTCACTTCTGCTTGGACCAGCATTCCCCAACTCACTCGAGGAGGATGGCCAATCAGACAAACCATCCATTTAGGTCATTAGCTAATTAAAGCTGCATTATCTATTGTATTGCCTGAAGAAGGGAGATCAGCTTGTGCCCTCCATGCTGTCAGTGGGTGTCAATCATGACATTTTAATTAGCTTTTATTGGGTCTGTTGGCTGAGAGTGTGTGGTAGATGGACAGAAAGATACATATGAAAAGGATTTATGTGGATGTTCTGAACACATGAAGCAAAACTGTTTTGCTTAGTGAAATCTGTTTTTGTGCTGAGTATGTTGTTTGAAGCAACTGTCTTTGTTTTCTTTTTGCAAAGAAATAATCAAGTTAATTATAGACGTGTCCCCTAGTGTTTATACTGTGCAGCCAAGCTGTGAAAAGGGCTAAAAAAATACTCCTCAGATACAGGGATAAGATGTGAAATAGATGTGTCTAAAAAGGAGATAAATTCATAACTTCCTTGTCACCAAACAACTCAAAACTATGCCAGTTCAGGTTGACAATGTCAACTGAGTAAGGGGAAACCCTGATTGAATGTGCCTCCACACATGTGTGAATACGTCGTCTGCCTCATTATTCATGCAGAAGCATCTCAGAGACATGAAGATTAATGTCCCTGGCATGCGATGGCGCCCTGCACCCTCCACATTTTCTTCATTCTCTGGTAGTCTACTAGCTTCTTCACATCGGTGTTATCACGTGGGAGATGGAAGGAGAGACAAAGGGGGGGAGTAATATATGAGAAGTCCATGCTGTCAGCAGGAAAACAAAAGAAGAAAAAAACAGAACATGTACAACTGAAGTGTGATGACTTGCTCGCCTTACTACATACTCGGTCTCCTTTCCTATGTCAGGGCTCCTTCCCAGGGAACCTCCAGCTGGTTCTGGTTCTGAGGCCCACTACCCTTCTGCAACGCACACTCTCCGACATCTTCTTCAAGTTCAACAAGGATGAGTTCAAGATGAAGGTGCCGGTGCGTGCGCTTTGGGTCTCCTGTGCAAAAACACACTTGTGTCTATTCCATGAGTGACTTGTGTTCTCCTCTCAAATAGGAAAAAAAATGAAGAAGAAATATAGTTGCTCAAAGATGTTGATGTTTGTCTCTCTCAGGTGATTATGTTGAGCTCTATAACTGAGCTGCACTCTTATATTGATCGCACCCAACTGACCCAGGAGCTCGGGGGAACACAGGAGTACTGCCATGAGAAGTGGATCTCTCACCGCACAGTATGTACTGTTCAGTACTATCCATTGATTATAAGACAATTTAAAAAAAAAAACCTTTTTCTGCATGCCTGTAAGCAAGGGTTAAAGTGGGTTTTGGTAGAAGGGAGAACTCTAGTATTCAATGCAGCTGTAAGGATTAGGGGCGGGATCATTTAAAAATAATACTTTAAGATCTAATTTAAACTGAAATGTGCTACCCTTGACATAACCACTTACAATGAACACCACAACCTGCACTGCTTAGTCTGTGTGCCACAGTGCTGTAAACTAACCACTACAGCCTGCACTAAAATCCCCAGCATTTTCATCCAGCACATATATACAGTATGTACCATGTACAGGTCCAACATCTGATGACCAAAGAATAAGCATGGTTACATAAGCTTTAAATTTCCAGTTTATCAGATGCCTTTGAAAATAATTTCTCATCTTCCTCTCCTGTCCTCTTTGTCTTATACCTTTCTCCATCTCTTTGAGGGAACTTGCTATACCACACACAATTGGCTCGCAGCCACACTGTGGTCCAAACGGTACAGAAATAGTTTGTATTTGCTGATATTTGCTAAACTTTTTGAAGCATTTGAAATTACCTGAAGGTTATAAGTGTTACTCTGTTTATCCATGAACACCTTACTTGTGTTTAACGTGGAAGCTGGCTTGTAAGTTGGCTGCAGCACATGAAAAATAAATTTTTCGGTTCTATTAGATATTAAACTGCTGATAAGATTTGATCACTTATTAGCTAAAAGTGCCAGAACTGGATCCATCCAGTCTACTTTAACCTCCGCCTATACAGTAAGATCAAAATGTAAAGTGATATTTGCAAATTGAGTACTGACGATATTGTCATAAAGTATTCTACTTACAGACTGCAATTCGGAACTAGCCAATCCCCTCAAAAGTGCACTTTATGATTTGTTTTACATGTTACAAGAACCCAGTGCATTTTATCAGCATCACCTGAGAATGAAAATTTGGCATTTTCTCGATGAAAATCTCTGTTGTCTCCCGTGACTCAGGCTATTGAAGGCTTTGCACTGATGGTAAAGAAAACTGCACAGACTCTGCAGTCATTTGGGACTGAGCTGGCAGAAACTGAACTCCCAAATGAAATACAGGCCACAACCATCCTTCTGAGCACACACACCAGCAAGAAAGAAAGAATGAAGGTAATACCTTCAAATATAAAAATGCATTCTTTGAAATTACAAGAGTAATATGATATGCATTAATTGCTTCATTGGTCTGTTCAGATAATGCATGCTTGCCCCATCTGTCTCTGTATTTCTAGGAGGATTTACTGGTGGCTCTGGGTCAGGGCAGCAGGCTGTTGGAGAGCATCAATGAGCCTGTAGTGCGAGACCCCGACCACAACATGAACCAGGATGAACTGGAGAATCTGGCTACAGTTCAAAGGTTGGAACCAGTTACGCCAGTGGCACAGCTGCGGGACGGTGACTGAAAACTAAAAAACTTCCAGTCATGGCACATTAGGAGATATTAGAGGAGCACTTTTTTCTTTGCTGATTGAGACAGAACTTTAAACTTTTTGTGGGATGAATATTTGTTTGAAATTCATAAATAATGATTCCCTAGATTTTTTTGGACATGCTTTGAACTAAGTTAAAATTAAGAGCTAAGCATATCAGGCCAGCACTGAATTATAAAGGCATTTCACATCCTGATGTATTTACGTAACAAAAATTAAAGCCTTTTTTAAAATGCAAGATATTTTTTCCTGGCCTGTTTCATCTCTTTTCGCTATTTTAGGAATATTGTTTCAAGTCAGTATGCTTTGAGGTCACACGGTATTTTAAGGCACATTGAGAGAACCGATCTCCACAATAATCATAATAGTTATTGCCACTAAATAGCATAAAAACATGCAAACACAATAAACCAAGAGGATCTGAAAACCTCAGTCAGCATTCTCTGCTTCATTAATTTTCCCCCTACGGCTTTAGCTCGATTTAACGCTGGCTCTTTCCTCTCCGTCTTTCTCGCCTTGCCTGGCAGATTGCTGTCTCAGCTGGACGAGACAGAACGAGCTTTTGATGAGTTCTGGGTGAGACATCAAACCAAACTAGAGCAGTGTCTTCAACTGCGCCACTTTGAGCATAACTACCGAGAGGTGAGCAGGACTTTTTTTTATATATTGAAATCCCGCATACTGGATCTCTTCAAAACTTGTGTTTCTGGTGCAGGTGAGGGCTCTGCTGGATCAGGTGTCTGAGAAACTTGCAACCTTCTCTGAGGTTGGGATCAGTCCAGCCCATGCTGACCACATCTTCATTGAGCTCACGACCTACGAGGAGAAAGTCTGTGTAAGTCACACCTGAATCATCACAATTAAAGCTTTGTGTAATCATGACCCAAACAGCTGAATAAGATGCTTTATAATATGGATGGGGGTGGAGGGGAGGTGTTCTGCTTTCTTTTTTGTCATTTCGAAATTACATTACACTCCAAAAACAAATCACCGGCTGTGTTTTAGCAGATGATTGAAATTAAATGATATTTAAATAAACTTTCATGTAAGAAAATTAAAAAAACGGAGATGTGCTTCATTTTGTTCAAAATGACTAATTTGTTTGCGATTTTATGTAGTAAGGTTGATAGAACAGATAATAGTGATCATCATCATCATGAAATGTGATTAAACATCTTTTATATTTCATATTCATGTGTAAAATGTCTAAAGTGCAGCAATTTTCTCAAGTTTTCTTATTTCATAATGTGCGTTTATCTAATAAAGTACTGCACAGAGGACGCAGGGATCACTAAAAAAGTCCAACTTAAGGACATCAAACTAGATGAGTTTCTCCCAAACTGTGAGAATAATTAAAGTCCATAAAGATAATAAGGAAAACCAAAGCTTAAGGAAGGTTAGCAAGGAGCAAGGGAACTCAGATGACATCAAGGGTGGAAAAAGAACGAGGTTGTGTCTAAAAATACAACAATCTACACAAAAAATTAAACAAATTTAAAGTAAAAGCGTAAGTAATTCAAATTGAAACATGCTATGCACTGACCAACAGAACCACATACTAAGCAAGAAAGACCTAAATAAAAAAGTAGTGCAATCAGCTTTAAATCAAGAACCAAAACTACATCAGCAGCTTCATCTGGACAAAATCCCATTACACTCTGCAGGAACTCTTAAATATGAGCTTTTAGGCTTATATTTCCTAAAATTCGTGTCACAGCTGCACAGTGCATTCAAAGCACAATACCTGTGTGCACAACAACCCCATATATTTTTGACTCACTCAGTGTCTATAACCCAACTGGACCTCTCAGGTCATCTCAGTGTGCTTTCAATAACTGTGGTCCTGTTCTTTGGAACAAACTGTCCGCTGAGCTGAGGTCAGAACTGAACTGTTGCACTACACTGGTCCTCAGGAGGTTCTGGTCAGAACTGCAGCCTTGTCCCAGGAGGGTGATGAACTGATCCAGAAGTCCCACTACGCTGAGGACTCCATTCAGCCCAAATGCAGTGAGCTTAGAACAATCAGTGAAACTGTGAACAACAATCTGAGAGCCAAGAAGGACCATCTCCTCAAAGCCAGGGAGCTACACCACCGGCTGGAGCGGGTGAGAAGACAACTGCATACATGCCCCCATTAGTCCCTTTGTCTTGTGTTGTTTCTGGTTTTTCCACTTTCATCCTCCTCTGCTCTCCTCTGCAGGCATCAAAGTGGGTTGATGATGGCATATACCTGCTGGCTTCTCAGCCGGTTGATAAATGTCAGTCACATGAGGGCGCAGAGTTGGCCCTGCAGGAGCTGGAACGTTACCTGGATAATGCAGGCGAGAATCAGCTGACAGACCTCAGCACCATCTGGAAAGACTACGAGGCTGTGCTGAACCAGCAGTTTAGGGTAAATGGACTGACATGAGAGGAGAACACACGTGTTGCATTCAAACGTCACATCGCTGAGGTTTTCGCCAACAAAAATGACCACATTAGTGCTAATGTCTAACATTGCATAATATCTCATCTCAGATTATTGTGTTACGACTTTACTGATGTTGGCATACATCAATAACACATTTAATGGTGACACTTTTCCGGTGGCTTCCTGTGCATCAGGACCAAGTGGAGAAAGTTTTCCAGAAGCAGGCGTCCATGCAGGAGATGTTTGACAAGAGGAGAGTCAGCCTCAAGAAGCTAGCAGCTAAACAAACCAGGCCTGTGCAGCCAGTAGCCCCGAGACCCGAAGCCTTCATCAAATCCCCTCTCAGCTCACCTGGTCAGTCTTCACACGGCCGTACATTACACTCGTCATGCAGTGCAGAGCCTTTTCAGACTTTCTCAGGTTTTTGTGCTCTTCAGTCTTAGCATTACTTGAAGCCTGTTGATGCTGTCTCTAGCTCTTATGTGTGCAATACCTGAGACCATGCATTAACAGTCCATTTTCCACTGTTCAAACACAATAAGGATACATAACTTATTGCAGAACAACCTTGTAGAAGGAAATAAAAAAAAATCTTATATTTTTAGCTTGAAATCACTATTTTCACGACAAAAAAAAAGTATACATTTTCTTTATTTATCCTGCATCCTACACATTTACATACAAGGGCCTTTACACACTCTCCAGTTAATTTATAGTTTTTCACAGCTATTCTATTAGTCAGTATATTGAAGCATTGACAGTAATAGAAACCACATAACCTCTTTGTATTAATTGTACAAAATTGCCACACAATGTATAATATACATGTTGCAAAAAGGATGTTTCAAGCTGCAAGCATTACTGAGCTGAAACCAGCTTCTTACAATAATAAAGTATTTGGAAACCTTGAATGCAGCTTTTCTAATATCATGCCACATTCCTCATGACCAGCTAAAACGATCAAAGTTATTAATAGTTATTACATAGTTTAATAAGTTGAAAATCATCCCTGTATTTTCACATCCCCAGCACGCAGAGCAAAGCTGGAGAAGAAATGCTCAGAGACAGACTCCGGCAACTGTGAAAAAGTGAGACTCAAGATTCTGTTTGTAAACTGTTGTACAAGTGTTTTCTGAAGACTTTGGAGTCTGTTCCATATCCAATGTTCCCCCCTTTTTTTTAGGGAAATGGCCAACTGAAGAACGAATACAGTAGCAGCAGACATACCTCTCTGTCAGAGGAGGAGGAGAACCTGGCAGTGCTCAGGCGGTGAGGGATCAACACTAACTCTTTCATCTGTAATCAAATTACACAGCAGATGGGCTGTGTGAAAAGGGTTATCTGGGGATCTAAAGCTCCGTGCAGCTATCTGAGTACACCAAACCCCTTACTTGATCTCTCTGCCTTTGCCTTTCTGCAGACATGTTATGAACGAGCTGCTGGAAACTGAGAGGGCTTACGTGGAGGAGCTGCTCTGTGTCTTACAGGTGTAGAATCACTCCACAGAAGGTTTTCTGCGCTCTCTGTTTTTCCTGCTCTGGGTATTTCATATTGTGCTTTTGTTGGTTTGTTTCAGGGATACGCCTCTGAGATGGATAATCCAGCAATGTCTCACCTTATCCCTGCGCCTTTGCAGAACAAAAAGGAGGTTTTGTTTGGCAACATGCCGGAAATTTACCACTTTCACAAAAGGTAACGGAGCGCCATCTGGTGGTCACTGATCATATCTGTCCTGTGTTGGACATCAAGGCCAATAAACACATTCAAAATCTTTTTTCTTTTTTTTTTTGTTTTACCAGAACTTTTCTGAGGGAGTTGGAGCAGTACACAGACTGCCCAGAGTTGGTTGGTAGATGCTTCTTAGAGAGGGTGAGTAAAGGGTGAGATAGCCGAGAGGCACACAACAAATTTTACTGAAGGAAGGGACTGTGCTGTACAAATCTCTTTCATTGCTTTCCCCTCAGATGACAGACCTGCAGATCTATGAGAAGTACTGTCACAACAAACCTCGCTCTGAGAGCCTGTGGAGGCAGTGCTCAGACTGCGCCTTCTTCCAGGTGAACAAATCAGCCGTCAGCACATTTGTGTTAGCCTAACCCATTTAACATTTCATTGCTTGGGGAAATAACAACCTCCCAAAAAATATTTTTAAAAACTCATTTGTATAAATACTTAAATTCAGTTTCCTAGTTACCAAAAATTGCAAACTGATTTTTCCAGCGTCCAGTGGGAAATTAAAAGCTATAATATTTGAAAAACACAGCATTATATAACAACTCAAGTTACCAAGTTAAACACATTTTTCAGTGAGATACAGTAGCTCAAAAGAGATTTACGCTCAGGTGGGCAGAGTAAAAAGGTGTTAATGTTTTATTTGACATCATTTTCTTTTTATTACATCAGGAATGCCAGAAAAAGCTGGAGCATAAACTGGGTTTAGATTCATATCTCCTGAAGCCGGTTCAGAGGATTACCAAGTACCAGCTGCTACTGAAGGTGTGAATCTATCTGTTGGCCACAAATCAAACAGACTCTACAACTGTTTTTTTCTGTTTTCGTGTGGTTGCTATGAGCTGTTTCTTCGGTTTTTTCTAACTTCAGGAAATGCTGAAGTACAGTAAGGGCTGTGAAGGGGCTGATGACCTGCAGGATGCGCTGACCTCCATCGTGGGGATCCTCAAGGCTGTCAATGACTCCATGCACCTTATCGCCATTACAGGTTTTGAGGTGAGACATTAAACAGGCGCAGAGTTTATCAGTCACCTAACAGATGCTTGGCATCCACTACATGGACTCTCAGAGCCACCATAACCTACAGTTTATAGTTAAATATCTAGAAGGGAAGAAATTTCACAAACTGGCCTGCTGCAAAGGTGCCCAAATATCTGTGAAGGCAGACTGAGACTGCATGGCTAGGTGCTTGATTTTATAGGCTACACCTGTGGCAATGGGACTGTTAACACCTGAATTCAAGGAATAACAGTTGCCAGCCAATACTTTAGTGTATGTCACTGACATGTCATGGACGTCAGATAGGTTCTGAGGTGAAATTGTTCTTTTAAATGATATAATAGAGCTTTTTACAATCCATGAAGCAAAACTGAAAGCTCTTTTTTTTAAATCAAAATGTAAAATCAGTTCAAACAAAGACTCGAGTAAGAAAGTCTACATATTTTGTGATATTTAAAACATTAAAGAACTGCACTGCAACAACATATCTGTGGCCCAGATATGCAAATCTGTAACACTCAAAAATAATGTGCAAACTGTGAAAACTGTTGGGAGAAAAGAGCTGACATGATCCTTCGACTTCCTTGATGTCAAAGGATCAAGTGTTAACAGATCATTTGAGATATAAAGGTCCAGAAAGGTGAAACTCCTTTTGAATTCCACTGTTACTTTCATCTAGCAGATGGAAACATGATGATAAGTGACGTGAGAGCTTTGAAATTAGGATAAATTAGACAAGTGTTCTGCTCTTGCGCCTGTTAAAACTTGGCAGCCACTTACAAGTGTATATATAAATTATTTAGAAAGATATATTTGTCATAATCGTGACACTTCAGATAACTCTGGCATACAGCACAAAAGAGAGCTACATTTGGCATAAAGACTGAGGTGTGTGAAAGTCAAACTTGGGCATCTGTAAACTATTTTAGAGCATATCCAGCATGTTTTTGTTTTTAAATTAAAGTATCTCTTCCCTTCAACCCATTCATTTCTCAGGGTAATCTGAGTGAGCTGGGTAAACTGCTTATGCAAGGGTCATTCAGTGTGTGGACCGAGCACAAGAAAGGCCATGCCAAGGTTAAGGATCTGGCCCGTTTCAAGCCCATGCAGAGACACCTCTTCCTCCACGAGAAGGCCCTGCTCTTCTGCAAGAGGAGAGAGGAGAACGGGGAAGGTTATGAGAAAGCTCCTTCATACAGCTTCAAGCAGTCCTTGAATGTGAGCCCATCTAAGGTTGCAAATTGCATTTGATTCTTTTTTTACTGATGTGGTAACAAAGATGCATATTTCTCTTCACTGTTTATTGAACAGATGAGAGCCGTGGGCATCACTGAGAATGCAAAAGGAGACAACAAAAAGTTTGAAATTTGGTGCAACTCCAGAGAAGAAGTCTATATTGTTCAGGTAAATAAACAAAGACTAATAAAGAACAACTACTGAGCAAATACTCTGATAATGGTTAGATTTTGAGGGGTGTACATCCTTTTTGTCTCAGGCACCAACGGCTGAAGTCAAAACCACTTGGGTAAATGAGATCAGGAAGGTCCTGACGACCCAGCTGGAGGAATGCAGAGGTACATTCATGTATTATGAAAGCCATTATGAAAGTTTTTCTATAACTTATGCCTTAGCTGAAGTGATGTTCCAGCATCGCTGTTTTTCTCTCATTTGTGTCATTCAGAAGCAAGCCAACAGAGGGCACCAGATCAGGCCACCCATGCTCCACCTGTTCCCACTGGAACCGTAAGTCTCAGGTAAGTCTGAACTCCCCACCTCATTTACTTTCTCTCACTGGTGTTACGAACATTTTCCATGTGATTGCCCTTTGTAAACTTTTAATAATCTGGGCCAGTTCTTTCAGAAATTGTTGAAGCTTCTCATGTTGCTCTCTTCTCCACTTGCAGCCCATTCAAGACAGGCCAGAAGAGCATTAAAAAGGGAGAAGAGAAGAAAGCTGAGTCCTGCAGTCCTGATGTCAATTCCTCCTCTTCTGTAAAGGCTGCAGGGAAAGGTGAGTGAAGAGCGCACGAGGGATACCCGCCTTGTTTCTTGTTAAATTTTAACTGTAACATTGCAATGCATGTGTTGCATCAACTCTGTTTTACCCTACCTCTGTGCTTTCCCACTTCTTATGATTGGTTCGTGTCTTAACTTCTCATTTCCCAATGAATCAAGTTCCATTTTCCCTCCGTATTGATTCCCTCTTAACCCAACTTACCTTCTTCCTTAATTCTTTTTGTCCGTCTGTCTTGTCTCCTTGCTTTCCGTCTGAGTCAGATGAGGGTGTGACAAGCCCGACCTCAGACAGAGCTGCTGTGGCTAAAAAGCGCTTTACTTTACAGGGCTTCAGTAACCTCAAAGCTCAGAAAGGTAACTGCAAGCCAGAGATTTTCCATTATCCACCTGATATGTCATCTTCTGCATCTGTGAAACAAAAAAAGGATTTTTCCATTTAGTGTGACGCAATACATTTTTGTTTAATCATCTTAAGACACTAATATTACATCAGTTAGAAGCTGGATCACTCTCATGTCTTTAGGACAAGAAATAATCAGGCTCAAGTGAGTTTGCAGGAAGTTATTGCTATAAATCATCATAGATCATATACAATTATGTTTTTAACCTATTTCCTGACTTTGTCACAACTTCTGGGTAAAGCTAACTTCTGACAGCACTCTTTTCACTTTTACCACAAAGACATGAGTGTGTGACTGTTGCTCAGTCTGGAGAAAGTATCTGGGGGATTTTATTAAAGCCTTTTAGTCAGAAATGCTGCATGCTTCCCTCCACAGAGCCCTCAAGTACTGATGACAAAAGTTTTACATTGCCCATGACAGTCTTCCCATCATCAGGTATCGCACAGCTCTAGACCCCAGTTTTATTTCATCCAATGTAATGGCATTTGCACAGTTGACATTTTGACTTTGTTAAGAAAAGCATGTGAATCTGAGCAGGTGTTGAAAGTTATGTCAGGGTAAACAGAATAAATCAGCATGCAGAATATCAGAACCACAGAAGTGCAAAAACCTTACACCTGCATACTGTAACATGTCAAAATGTCTCCCGTGAGCGGCCTCTGTGTTGCTGAAGCACTTTTTCTATGGCAGCAGCTTCTATTCTGAAATCTTGCAGAGTTCAGCTACTTTTTGCAGGTGCTGTTTTAGTTAGAGTTACTTTTCTACCTCTGTATTAGTTGACTTTTGTTTGTTTTATTAGTCTGAGCTGAGAAAGTGCTGTTTTCTATGCCTCCTTTATACCTTTCCTTCATTCCTTTCATGAAAATAGGCCTGTTGAATATTACTTTTTGATAATTATGTCTTTCTTGATTTAACTTTCAACCTCATCTCTTCTTTTTACTTTTTTCCCCCAGGATCTCCCACCAGCCCAGATCACAAGACGAAACGCCAGAGTGATCCCACACCATTTGGCTTTAAAGGTAATGTTCAGCCACTGCATAGCCTCCTTGCTGGGTTAGTTGTTTTCCATAATGCTTGAATACATCCAAGGTCTTACACAGGTTTGGTTGGCTGCAGCTACAGCAGGAAAAGTGACTAGCTGTGTTTCCATTGCCTCCTGTCCCTCAGATGCAGGTCCTCCAGCCCTCCACCTGACCAGAGCCAGGTGGTTCAGCACCTCTAGTCTCTTACAGACAAAGTGGAGAGGTATATTGGCACTAACCTGCCACAGCTGGCTGTGTCAGGGTGTTTCACTGCTATGAACCTTTTAAAGGCAGCGCGTTTGTCTTTTCCACATCCCCTTCAAGTGCAGAGAAAATCATAGAATACCCTCTGACACAGAGGCATGTTTGCCTGCCCACTTTATACCTCTGTTTGAAGAAAGTTTAAAATATGAAGTTGCATGCCAGTCTCCACCATCTTGGAGTTTTTCTGTAGTGCATAGTTGTGGATCTGATTGTGTAATCTGGGATTCCTGATTTTAGCCACTTTTGTTCTAACAATGGGGACCTTATCGTGGTTCTTCCATACTCATCACTCTCCCTTCAGGTCACGTACATGTTTGACAGTAGCTGAGGCTGAATGTTGCTGCAAACTAAGCACCTGTTTTGTTTTGTTTTTTGCCTTTTCTGTTCAGGCTGGAATAAAGCCTCCCTGTCACTCGATGCCTCAGGGGAACATGACGGCTACTCCAGCGCTGAAGATCCTCTTAACTCTGACCCAGAAGATGAAAATGGCAAGAAGCTGGTGAGTCGCTGTGTATGACTAACAGATGGCAGGCTTGTAATCACAGTGTTGGTGCTATGGTATCCAGTATTTATATCTAAGGTTACATTCAAAGTTTTCAGACATTTGATATCATTGTTGGTACCATAACACTGCCAGCAGAAATATAATACACTTTTATGTCAGTGTTGCTCATAGCTTCAGACAACAGTGATGGAACGATTCCCAGTATTCGTGCTATATAGGGAGTGCAGAATTATTAGGCAAGTTTTATTTTTGAGGAATAATTTTATTATTGAACAACAACCATGTTCTCAATGAACCCAAAAAACTCATTAATATCAAAGCTGAATGTTTTTGGAAGTAGTTTTTAGTTTGTTTTTAGTTTTAGCTATTTTAGGGGGATATCTGTGTGTGCAGGTGACTATTACTGTGCATAATTATTAGGCAACTTAACAAAAAACAAATATATACCCATTTCAATTATTTATTTTTACCAGTGACACCAATATAACATCTCCACATTCACAAATATACATTTCTGACATTCAAAAACAAAACAAAAACAAATCAGCGACCAATATAGCCACCTTTCTTTGCAAGGACACTCAAAATCCTGCCATCCATGGATTCTGTCGGTGTTTTGATCTGTTCACCATCAACATTGCGTGCAGCAGCAACCACAGCCTCCCAGACACTGTTCAGAGAGGTGTACTGTTTTCCCTCCTTGTAAATCTAACATTTGATGATGGACCACAGGTTCTCAATGGGGTTCAGATCAGGTGAACAAGGAGGCCATGTCATTAGTTTTTCTTCTTTTATACCCTTTCTTGCCAGCCACGCTGTGGAGTACTTGGACGCGTGTGATGGAGCATTGTCCTGCATGAAAATCATGTTTTTCTTGAAGGATGCAGACTTCTTCCTGTACCACTGCTTGAAGAAGGTGTCTTCCAGAAACTGGCAGTAGGACTGGGAGTTGAGCTTGACTCCATCCTCAACCCGAAAAGGCCCCACAAGCTCATCTTTGATGATACCAGCCCAAACCAGTACTCCACCTCCACCTTGCTGGCGTCTGAGTCGGACTGGAGCTCTCTGCCCTTTACCAATCCAGCCACGGGCCCATCCATCTGGCCCATCAAGACTCACTCTCATTTCATCAGTCCATAAAACCTTAGAAAAATCTGTCTTGAGATATTTCTTGGCCCAGTCTTGACGTTTCAGCTTGTGTGTCTTGTTCAGTGGTGGTCGTCTTTCAGCCTTTCTTACCTTGGCCATGTCTCTGAGTATTGCACACCTTGTGCTTTTGGGCACTCCAGTGATGTTGCAGCTCTGAAATATGGCCAAACTGGTGGCAAGTGGCATCTTGGCAGCTGCACGCTTGACTTTTCTCAGTTCATGGGCAGTTATTTTGCGCCTTGGTTTTTCCACACGCTTCTTGCGACCCTGTTGACTATTTTGAATGAAACGCTTGATTGTTCGATGATCACGCTTCAGAAGCTTTGCAATTTTGAGACTGCTGCATCCCTCTGCAAGATATCTCACTATTTTTGACTTTTCTGAGCCTGTCAAGTCCTTCTTTTGACCCATTTTGCCAAAGGAAAGGAAGTTGCCTAATAATTATGCACACCTGATATAGGGTGTTGATGTCATTAGACCACACCCCTTCTCATTACAGAGATGCACATCACCTAATATGCTTAATTGGTAGTAGGCTTTCGAGCCTATACAGCTTGGAGTAAGACAACATGCATGAAGAGGATGATGTGGACAAAATACTCATTTGCCTAATAATTCTGCACTCCCTGTATTATATAGGCCTTGTAATCAGAAGGTTGCCGGTTCGAGCCCCGGCTTGGACAGTCTCGGTCGTTGTGTCCTTGGGCAAGACACTTCACCCGTTGCCTACTGGTGGTGGTCAGAGGGCCCAGTGGCGCCAGTGTCCGGTAGCCTCGCCTCTGTCAGTGCGCCCAGGGTGGCTGTGGCTACAATGTAGCTTGCCATCACCAGTGTGTGAATGTGTGTGTGAATGGGTGGATGACTGCATATGTAGAGCGCTTTGGGGTCCTTAGGGACTATTAAAAGCGCTATATAAATACAGGCCATTTACCATATAATGTGTGCAAGTCTTTCTGCCATTGTAGAAAAGTATTGCTGTACACTTTAGTTAATAGTAACAGTTTAAAACTGTAACTTTATAAGTACTTGATAAAGTTGCCACTGTTGTGCTCGTAGGAGGATGCTGCTGCTTTCCAATACTGATAAATTCAGAAGAAAGACTTCCACAAACAGCTGAAAGCTTAAAGCTGATTTCAACTCTTGCTAACCTTTTGTCAAAACTCTGATATCAATTACTGCTGAGTCTTATTAATCTGAGCCGTCACAGAATGACTTCAGAACTGTCATAAAGCCATTACTTTCTAATAGATCTAAAACTGTAGTGTAAAGTGAAGAAGAGACAATTCAACACGCATGAAACATGATTTTGGAGGTTTGGAAGAGCCTATGGTAACTGAAGGCATGCAATTGTTTTTTGTATTGTGTGACATTAATGGAAATCCATTTATGGAATTATCTTAACGTGTTACTCATGATCTGGAAAGATTGCTGAATTTCTCTTGAATCCGTCTCTTATCTTGACTATGAACAGTGTGCTGGAAAATACACCGTCACGGCTGAGTATGAGATCGGTGGCGCTCAAGAGCTCTCTGTGAAGAGCGGAGATGTAGTGCAGCTGGTCAAGGAGGGGGACGATGGACAGTGGTGAGGTTACAACCTTATATTATCTATGTGAACTAATAAAAATATCTATAATTTAGAAGCATTGGTTTAACTATACTTTTGTGTCTAGGCTTGTGCGTAACTTAAACACATCTAAGGAGGGTTGGATTCCTGCTGCTAATCTTATCAACCTCATTGGAAAATCAAAGTCTTGTCAGTCTCTCACCAGCTCAGGTATTCTAAGAAACAGTCCCAAATAAGTCATGTCAAAATCCAACATGCATTTGTTACACATGCATTAACTCCTCAATGTGGCTGTGTTTCAAACAGAAGGCAGCGGCTCTGGGAACCTCAGCACATCATCTAGCTGCAGTGAGACCTACACAAGCTTCTCTGATATCAAACCCTGAAAATACTCTGCACTTTCTTCATCATCAAACTGCCATCATTCCTACATCATGTGGCTATCTGTACCGTTTTGCCAGCATATGTAATCATGAATTTTGTCAATTTTCCACAGAAAACAGAAGTTACAAAGGTAACTATAGTTTTATGAATTCTAGGATCACTGCCGGTGGCAGTAAACAAAATGTCTCCTCATAGTCTGCACGTGTTGAAATCTTATATAAACAAAATCATATGCATGATGTGTAGGCTACCTGTGCATATGCACTATAAATAACTTGGTAGGCTACATATGAGCTCTATGAAACTTCTCATGCTGAAATTTTCCAAGTGACCAGCATGACTGGCAATCATCTTGGGTTTCACAGAACCACAGTCATCAAACTTCTGTACTGTTTTACTTCTTCCTTACTGCCAGTGGCAGTAAACAAAGTGGATGACTTAAAGCAGCATCAAGAGGAACAGACAACTTCTAGTCAACCAGTGGCTGGTAACGTGAATCCACAGGCTGACAGAACCTCACAAATGTACAGGGTGTTCCCCAAGATGCCGCTGCACAGATTACACAGACGGGACACCCCACATTGCTCTCCAGGAGGTGGCCGCACCCGTGGTTGAGTGACAGACGACACCTGAAGAATGCAGGCACATCTGCTATTCCATATGCCTGTTTCATCATGTTTACAGCTCAGTGGGAATGCCCCAGTATGAACACATCTTTTCTCTTGTTCTTTTCATTATAAGAAATCAAAGACAGGTCCCATGTTGCAGTGCCCCCCATGTCCCAATGTTCAAGGTCCTAGCACACCTGCCATAATAGGAAAAGACCAGCAGAGCTTCAGCTCTTCCAAAAAGCTCTTCTTCTGAGTTGCCAATAGCAAATACAAACCAGCCACACCTTTAAGAGGGCAAAGACTGCACTCTGACAATGACAGTCTGAATGACAACCTCCTACCCCTTACTCCAAGGGATGCTTACCTCCTGAACATAGATTATAGATCATTAATTATCAACCTAAAGAACAATTAACCAAGAAAAAACACCGGGCTGGGCTACCAGGGGGTATTTCCATCACATTTTAGCATATAGGATCTCACCCTGTGTGGCATATGAGGAGACATATTTGCTGTGTTTTCCTGCCATTGGCAGTCATGAGTTAATGAAACAAAACTGCATTTTTATTTAATTTTTCTAACCTCTCACATACACTGCACATTCAGAATGTTATACATTTACTGTGAAGGAACAAAACACATGCATATGGTAATTTCACTGTATAGATCTGTCATGGAGACAGAAGATCCACGTGCTGATAATGTAATAGATGTATGAATGGGCCAGCAGGACTGATCTCAGCAAATGCATCTATTTATGCTCACACTAAAAGCGGGGAGAGGTTAGTGGACAACAGTTGTCTTTGTGTTCACATGCACTAATTTCTTCAGGAGTTCATATTTTAACTCTGAATGAGAAAGAGGGCAATGTCCACTTTCTTTAGCTTGAATGAATTTTTCCTGAGAGCCAACTCTCTGTCCACTTTAAAAAAAAAAAAGTTTATTTATTTGTATGAAGCACCCACAGATATTCATCCACTCTTTAATTTTATTGTTGTCTGTAAACTCTCCTCCTGTCTGCTGTCAGTCTGTCATTAGAAACCTGTTCTGTCACCAGCTCTCCAGAGTTTGTGTGTGTGAGCTTTTGTCCTTTTGCTTTTGTCTCTGATAGCCTGGTCAAACTCTTTGTGCATTTTCATATATGCTACAGTTTTACAAATGTATCCATGTGAATAATGGGAGATCACTGTATAGGCTAACTTATTCCCAGCAGAGGGAAAATGTTTGGAATGTAGATATTGTTTATTAATATGTGTCTGTCATGTTTGTTAAAGGAGATGCTATATTGTACATTAAGTATGGTGATGTCACTGCTTTGTGACTTGTCCAGTTTTGTTTTGTTTTTTACATAAATGACTTGTGACAATTCACTTACTGTCTCTCTCTCTCTCGGTGCTGAGATGTAATCTGAAGCCTTCTGCTTTTGATTTCTGAGTCATCCTGAAACATTTCTGTAACCAGCTGTTTCTCAAAGAGCTGTGGTCGTAGGCTAACAACAAAAAGCGAGAAACGAAACTGAAACAAATTAACGGGTTGCCAGGTCTTTTCATAGCTTTCCCCCCAATAAATAAATAAATCAAACAAACAAACAAACAATCGTAGTAAGGAACTAACATACCCCTTTCATTGAAATGTGGTATTTGAGAGAGAGACACACACACACACACACACACACTCACACTCACTCTCTCTCTCTCTATTTACGGCTTTTGGAACCCCATAAGAAACTTTTCTAAAATAGTATTAAGGATCATTTCCTTAGATAGACAATGGGTTGAACCGTGAACTAATATAGGTTGCAATGTAGGTTGCTTTTGCCTCCACTTTTTCCCCCAGCCAGAGAACATTTTTATTACTAATTTTTTTTTTTTAAAAAACTTTAAAAAATACAAAATATTGTATTATTATCGATTAATATCATAGCTCTATATTCACCGGAAATAATAAGCCGACAATGAATCTTATTTGGTGAGCAGCCAAAGGTTAGTTAGTTTTTTTTTTCTTGTCGGGTATTAAAGTGAAGGTAACCTAAAAATAGTTATCCAAAGAAGATGGATATTAGTCGCAATTTCGCATCAGTTTCTCTCTCCGTCGATTGAAATGCGTTTCCATGCGGTGGTGACTGAAAGGAGGATGTTTCTGATAGAACCTGGCAACCCCAAAGAAATGGGCGGCGAAGTAGATAAGAAATCGTTTTTGAACAGCAGCGCTGATTCAACATGGACGCATGCGAGCAAGCCTGATAGAAAAAGTGGAAGCGGTGTGTTTGTCGGTAAAAAATGAGCAATAGCAGAGTGGCCTGCATACTTTGTCAGCAATCCAAAGAGACGAAGATTACCGGAACCTTGTCGACTAAAGATGAAGTCACGGCTCACCAGAACTGCCTGGTAAATACAACCACGCTTCTTTTGTTCTTCGTCTTTATTTCATGTGTAACGACGAGGACTTGATTCACCGCTCAGTGCAGCGGTTAAGTCCACAACGTAACTGTGGACAAGACGTGTGGAAAAGTTATAAAAATAACGCACACGAGTAATTTTTCCTGACGCCTTTAATTTCCTTATAGGCTACCACCTTTGATAAACGTACAAATTGATTCATGCATATAAACTTTCCAGCAGTTTAAAGATGAGTTCTGTTGCAATTGCTGTAACATTAAAATGCGACGATTAACACTAATCGGCACAGTTTGTGCCGTATATGCTTCTAATGGCATCACAGTGGATACAGATGAAGGTGGTACGTTCTTAAAAAGCAGGAAAACACTGCCATAACTGATTTCCAAGGGTTCCATGTAGTTCTGCTGTCCTCCTGGATCCTCTTAAAGCTATTTTTGTCAGTGTCACTGAGACTTTTTATGTGGACAAATAAAAGATATAGAAAAGTCATTTTGCCAAAAACTGATTGCAGCTTCTACCTTGTGGCTCAAGATGACTTTATATTATTCATGAGGGATACATTTTTTTTTTTGGCAAATACTGGAAATCTGTTTTTGGTAGGCAATCGCTTTTTGGCCCAGCAGCATCAAAAGGCCTGAAAAGACCACAGAAGACAACTAAAGTGTGTGATCACACAAATTCTTTCTTTGGTTGAGAGAGAAAAAACAACTTGATAACATGTAAACAAGTAAGTTGGCGTAGTATTGTCTAGAGACTCCTTCATGAATGGAGATGCAGACGGTTTACGAGGTGCACACCGCGGTTTACACTCAAGAACATGAAGGTCAGATTAGACTTTGCCAGAAAAAAGTCAGCAAAAGAGCCTTCACATCGTGAGCTGAAGCATACTACATTATCTATGTTTTGTTGTGAGCATGGCCAGCACTAGTGTTTACTGATGATGGGATTGCCGATAGACGTGGCAGGATAAACGGTGAAGAGTACAGAGCTACAGTCTCAGCTCAGATTCAGCCAAATGCTGCCAAAGTGATTGTACAGCCCTTCTCAGAGTGAATGAATAATGACCCAAAGTGTTCTGCCAAAGCAGTATACTTAGTGTCAAGTCAGTCACCTGATCTCAGCCTGAAGACACAGCCACGCACAAGGTGTCTGCACTCAAGGCTTAGCAGAGGATCTTAACCGAGGAAACATGACATTTGGTGGCTAGTTTATGAATTTTAAGTATTGGCTTACTTAGTCTAATAAACCAAATCTATTATTTTAACTGATTATATCTAAGTGTACAGCCATGTTTTTATTACTTTAAAAAAAAAAAAATACACTTCAAGAGGGGACACGTGCACAAGCACTTGCATTTACACATACTTACCTGGATTACCTTAACCTCTTTTGAGTTGCTTTAGGACAAATGCCATATTTATGAACTCACAAGTTTAGGGTAGATGTAGCTCAGGAGGTAGAGCAGGCCATCTACTAATCTGAAGGTTGGTGGTTCAATCCCTGGGTTCAATCGCGGTTCCTCCAGTCCAAGTCCAGGGCCCAATTGCTTCAATGTGTCCCCTGAAGTGTCAATGTTGGATAGAAAGTACTTAAGCATAGAAGAAAAGTGCTTGGGTGAATGAGTCATGCTGCATAAAGTGCTTTGAGTGGTAAGGTGGAGTAGAAAAGCCCTCTATAAGAACCAGTCCATTTACCGTTTTTCTACTTCATGCTCATTTATGTCCTTCACGTGAATTTCGTGTTGTTTGTTATTTCCAGTTATTTTCTGCTGGCATCTTTTGCCGGGATTCACCAAAGTACGATGACCTGTTTGGCTTCTCGGTGGGGGATGTGCTGAATGAGGTGAAACGAGGAAGCAAGCTGGTAAATATATATATTAGAAATTGTGTGATTTAAAGTATAGCGTGCACTGGGAGCAATGTTTAAATGTCTTACTCCTTTGTTTGCTTTAGACCTGTAACCACTGTAAGAAAAGGGGAGCCACTGCTGGGTGTGAAGTCAAACGCTGCAAAAAGTCCTACCATTACCCGTGTGCTCTTAAAGAGGGAGCGACGACTATTGAAGATGATGACCATGGGCGCTATGTGTCAGTTTAACAGATCTGCTTAATTGCCTGTCGAAAAAGATATTCAGTTATCCTAAAAATAAAAACTCCTGCTGTGCACTGCTTGGGACAATTGTAGTTGTCTAAAAATGTGTTTTATGTGTTTTTCTAACAGGATATACTGCTCATCTCACTCTGAGCAGCAAACACGTAAGTTTTGAATTTTTATCCTTTATTTATTCAGTGTATGACAGACTTTGATTTTCATTTTTATTTCTCATGACCAGAAAAAAGCGCTTCCACAAATGAGTTTGCCTCTTCCACCAAAAAGCCCAGAACCTCCAAAAAACTCAAAAACTCCCCAAACCCCAACGCACCCGGACCATCTAAGGTTAGATTTATGGATTTACTAAAACAGACTTTTGGGGGGGAGAGGCCCCCCATCTCTCTCTAGCAGCTTGATCCTGCAGTTTTGGGTTTGTTGTTGTTTTTGTGTGTGTGTGTTTGTTTTTTTTTTTAGTAATTTCAACAAAAGGCCAAATTTTGCTATGTGAAGCAATGTAGCATGGATCGCAAGAATGCACAGATGGTAGTTGATTGACTAAGATTTGCTAACAATGCACTAACTGATAAACACAGACTCGAACAGTTAATTTCTGTAGTTAACCAAATGGGTCAAAATTAGTAGATCCCATGAGGAATTAAGCAAAATAACAGTGTAAGCGCAGACTTTACACATGCATGTCTGTGCGATTTCCTACATCAGCAGTTGGGGTGCTGAACATACTCGAGTCAGACTCAGTCAAAGACATGACCACAAGTCTGATGATACCATTACAAAATCAATCATCAATTCAGCCTTATTTGTGTATCACCAAAGGACAACAACGTTCACTTTAGAGTATTTTATATTGTAAGGTAAAAGTGTGTACAGTAACACATAAGCAAGCATTTGGTGACGGTGAGAAGGAAAAACTCCCTTTTAACAGGAAGAAACCTCCACCAGTGGAATGGAGCCAGAGATTATCATCATTAACCTGCGAGCTATGTGGTGCATTTGTGTGTGCGTTCTCCTCTGTTATAAATAACCAATCCGTTTTGTTTTCATGAGGTATGTTGCCTAACCTGTGAGAAGAGAGAAGGTAATATCAGCTTGGAAAGTTTGTCTAATAGCATTGTTATGTGAGTATTTACAAACATCTTTTCCCCCCCTTTTTTGACTTATTTGTCTGTGGTTTAATTTTTCTGTTTTTTTTTATTTTTATGTATCACATTGTAATTAGCAGATGTGTGTTTTTAGGTCATATTGTGACAAACATGCTCCTGCGTCACTTAAGAAGAACACCGACGGTAAGTGTTGCTCAGAGAGATTGACATTTACTATGACGTCGTTATTTTTTTCCTTTGTGCCAAATACTAAATTGCTTTGTAATTGGCAGGAGAAGGTACTGCAGCTGGATCCTCTGTACACAGCTATGACTCCAGCTCATCTAACAGTACAATGTGTAGTTCTTCCAAGGTGTTGTTCACAGTCACTTAAAGTTTTTTAGTTCTATTTTCAAGTTTGCTTGTTATTTTTACAGTTTTTTGTCTTTGCTTTTTAAACAGAGACAGTTGAGTGACTGTGACAAGTAAGTATGGGATGCTCGCTATGTCTTGAACAATAATTTTACGTTCAGAATTTTGGCTAGAATATCACCCTTATATCTAATATGGTAGCTTAAATGCTCATTTTAAAAGTCTGTACAGTTCGATCCATCGTTCGTTCTTACTTTAAACAACTTCACACTTAAAACCCCAGTTGTTGTTTTTTTTTCACCCACAAAACAAGTCAGGAACTCAAGTGGGTCTATATAGTCTTAAGTCATTGCTCATTTCTTTATATTTTGCTAGGAAATGGGAAATAGGCCCATTTTAGACCCGCAATATTGGATAAGGAAAAGAGAATGAATAGCTGGAAATGTCAATGTATTCTACAGGAATAATTCTCCAGGCTTCTTGCCAATCAGAAACCTTCCAGGTGGTATTGTATGGTGGATGAAAATCTGCCTTTTCTAGATTTATGTTCCATCGTTTTTGGCAAAATCCCCAACGCCACTGGCTGAAATGCAGCCACAAATTATGACCGACCTACACCAGATCAGTGTAGACTGCCCCTCTCTCCTGACCTCCTCCAAACATACTGGACAACATTTTACCAATTTGAATTCATTACTCCATAAGACCTGTTAATTTCCTTCCTGTTTCGCATCATTAATAATGGCTTTTTGATAGCCACACTGAAACCATTTCTGATGACGCTTTAGTGAACAATAGATGGATCATCTGGACCAGATGCATCTCTCAGGTCTTGATGTGACGTGACATGTTTGCAACAGGCAGCTAGTAACAAAGTGCCTGAAAATACAATTTCAAATGGGTTCACTGGTTTATCCCTTAAGGTAAGTGCACTTTTTAAGCTTGAATGATTCATAGATCAGTGTTAAGGGGTTTAACAAACAAAAGAAACATTCAACTGAAAATGCCCAGGTTTAAGGACTGGACTGGAAACGAGCGATAAAGCAACCAAAACTTTGAAAGACTTCAGAAAGCCTGGAGAACTATTGCTCAAGATCACTTTAAAAAAATAACAACAAACAACAAAATAACATTTCTGCTTGACAATATAAAGAAATGAGAAGAGCAAATTGTGTCCTGTTGGTTACAATAAAAATGGTGCAAACCTTGCAAACAGCTGTGATGATTCCTTACCTTTGTTACAGGCGGGAGGAGACCCTCTTGAAACCTAAGCTTCGCCGGAAGAGGAGACTCTCCGATTCTTCAAATTCAGGTCAACCCCGTTGCAAGGGAAGAAAATGTAACCTCTGTGGGCTTATCACTCTAGCTAACAAACCCCTTTCTTTTATCTTATATATATAGTTGACAATGACAATAACACTCCAATGGATATATACGCCCCATTAGAGTCTGATATAGATGAAAATGCAAACTCCGTCCCAGAGCTCGAAGTACGCCTAATCATTCATCAATTCTTCAATAACATCACTGTATGCTGAATATGTCTAATAATTTGAAGTCTCATCTTTGTCCTGTCACGTGTTGATTTCTCTTCGCGTGATGGCAGACTGTGCCTGAGGTTATCAGGTAGGTTTTTCTAGTTTTGGAGGGGTTTCTGCGGGGGGGGGGTCTCACTAATATTTGTAATTCTAAATTATATGTATATAAAATTATGAAAAGTTGTCCAGAGTTAACCAGTAAAGCTAATTACCTGCAAGTTTCAGTAAACTGCAGCCTATCAAAGCACCACCAAAAGGCACAAACATGTCTTATGAATGCAATTATCCCCTATGAAAGCTTAGTTTTTCCCCAAAGGGCTTTTGCATACATACTTTTTCTTTTCTTGGTCTGTAAAAAATGTCAGCAGAGGGTCGTTTTTTGAAATTATATTCTCCACTTTACAGAAGAGACACCAAGAGTCCTGCTGTGTCTTTATCAGGTAAGCAGTTGTTGATTCAGTGTGTATAGTTTGCTAAATATTTTTTTAAAGATATAAATATTTATTTTTTTCAAACTCCTCTTGTCTGGTTCTTTTAGGAAATCGCATTGAGGATGAATTTAATGATGAAGACGACACAATCATAGAATCAGTGAGTTCTCTGATATTGTGTTAATCGTTGTCTTTAGCAGCTATAAATGGTCTTTTTTTTTGTTATACATTTAATGTTTGGTAATTTAGAACTATGAAGATTTGGTCTTCTATATATATCTCTCTATATCTCTCTCTCTCTTTATCTCTCTCTCTATCTATGGATAGATATAGATATAGAGAAATATATATAGATTTTGTCACTAAAGGAAATCCCTCTTTTTTGCATGGGATTCATATGAGGTGTGATGAGATGTGTTTTCTTTGTCTTCTGAGGATGCTGAGTCAGAGAGTCTGCTGCTTCCCGTAAAGATCTGCATACAGACCCAGTCACTTACAATGTCAGCTGGTGAACTCTCACCTCAGACTGAATCTGCTCCACCTGAAGATGTTCTGGTTAATGCAGATGTAGAGCCGGTCGTAGATGAACACGAGGGTAAGGTTTCTCCTCCTGGGACTGATCAAATGTTTTATAAGAACAAAGAGCTTTGATAATGATTACACAGCAGTTAGGCAAAACTTTTATCTGACTATAAAGACACCTGCATAGTACGGAAGAGGATTAGGGCCACTGGGGGGGGGGAATGGGCACGTCTTTTTTATTCTTCTTTTCCTGAATTCTGAGAAAAAAGTCAGAATTCTGACTTTTTTCTCAGAATTCTAAAAAAAACATCATTTTGATGAAAAAGTCTGACTTTTTTCTCAGATTTTTTTTTTCCCCAGATTTTTTTTTTCCAGTGTCCCTAATCCTCTTCCGTAGTATAGTCTGGGTGGGCTACTATAGGGAACAAGAATTGCCTCTGAAAGTTGATGCATTTGAATTTGAAAAATGGGACGTTTAAGGACTTGATGGCTATGAATTGCAGTTACAACAGCCATAGGCTATATATAAAAGAAGGAAGTAGCTTTGTGGTGTAAAAAGGACTATCCTGATTGCAAAAAAAGAGGAATATAAAATTTGTTTTCTAGAACTTTAAGCACTTCTTGGTGAGTTTATGATCTCAGCAAGTAGTTTAACACAATTGCACATCTATGGGATCTGCTGACAAAATGAGACCCATCCATGAGGCCCTGCCTTGCAGCTTAAACGAGCTGCTACTGTCATATTAGTTCTTGATACCTCAGGAAACCTGCTGAGGGCTTGTGGAATCCCTGCCTTGACAGCTCAAAGGTGTTACTGTGGCACAAAGCAGATCTAATATTAAGGCAGGTGATTTTAATCTTGTGGCTGATTAATCTTTATGATTTTTATGAATGAGAAAGAAGTCGCGCTACGAGAGTATTTCACATTTATAAAACGCAAAGTGAAGGTTATGTGCAAGCTTTGTTTGAAAAAGCACACAATGAAATTATTAAGACACATTCACTGAAAAACGTAGAAAGAAGAAATGTGCCATGTCAAACACTTATCTAGAAAGCTTAGGAAGTTGCTGTTGCATGAAATGTGTAGATTTTTTAAGAATCAGACAGGAGTAAGGGTTTTGAAATGATAAAAAGATGGGATTACTTATAGAACTAACTCTCTTCTTAGGGTCCAGTCCCAAGCAGAACGCTGTCCAAACCCCGGGTCAACTCACCGGTGGATCCTCTGTCTCACCCCCTCCCTCTCCTGGCCAGTCCAAATCTCCCCCTCCATACTTCACCTCCCTGAAGTCTCATACTTCACCTCCCTGCACTAGCTCGGCCACAGCCCTGGCTCCGCCTGAATGCGCCAGTGTATCCATTAACTCCTCCTCTTCCTCTCCTGTGGCACTTCCCTCAAGTCCAGAGCCCAAAATTGACTCCAGCAGCTTCTGGAAAAGCTGTAATGCAGCAGGATGTACAGAGGCCATCTTCACTGACTTCCTTGATGGGATGAAAAATATCTCCAGCAAAATCCAGTCAGATCAGGCCAGCCAGGAGGGTAAGGGTGCATGACACTTATGAGACTCTGTCTGACCTTTTTTAATGTTTTAAACTGGGGATTGTGAAAATTTTATTTTTTTCTCCACAGAATATGATCTTGCACTGTCGGTGATGGCAGCTTCTGGAAAATTGTCAGAATTTGTGGCTAAGCAGCAAGAAGGTAAAGTACACAGTACTGCTCTAGGGGTGTGGTATTAGTTGGCCGATTAACAGAAGTTAATGTCTGCTTCATTGATAGCATTTCAAGAGGTTTCAACAGATGACCTATAGAATCAGAATACTTTATTGATCCCTGGGGGAAATTATTTTTTGTTACAGTGCTCCATTTTAAACCAACATTAAGACAAGACAGACAATACGCTAACTAAGAATAGTACAATATATACATATATATACATACATACATAAGTCACTTATAAATAAATATTTGGAAAAGAAACATGTGTAGTTGTAGCAGCAAACAGTGTGTTAAGTGGATGCGTTGTACAGGGAGATGGCCACAGGCAGGAATGATTTCCTGTGTCGTTCAGTGGTGCTTTTCGGTAATCTCAGTCTCTCACTGAACGAGCTCCTGTGACTGACCAACATGTCATGGAGTGGGTGGGAGGTGTTATCCAACAATGTCTTTATCTTGGACAGCATCCGCCTCTCCGACACCACCTTGAGGGAGTCCAGCTCCATCCCCACAACATTGCTGGCCTTACGGATCAGTTTATTAAGTCTGTTGGCATCTGCGACCCTCAGCCTGCTCCCCCAGCATGCAACAGCATAGAGGATCGCACTGGCCACCACAGACTCATAGAAAATCCTCAGCATTTTCTGGCAGATGTTGAAGGACCTCAGTCGCCTCAAAAAATAGAGACGACTCTGGCCCTTCCTGTAAAGTGCTGTGGTGTTTTTAGCCCAGTCCAGTTTATTGTCAATGTGTACTCCAAGGTATTTATAGTCCTCCACAATGTCAACACTGACCCCCTGGATTGAAACAGGGGTCAAGTGTTTCCTGGTCTTCCTGAAGTCCACGATCAGTTCCTTGGTCTTTGCCACGTTGAGCTGCAGATGATTCTGCTCACACCACGTGACAAAGGAGTCGACCACAGCCCGGTACTCTGTCTCATCATCCCTGCTGATGCATCCAACCACCGCAGAGTCATCAGAAAACTTCTGAAGATGGCAGGTCTCTGTGCAGTGGCTGAAGTCTGTGGTGTAGAGGGTGAAGAGGAAGGGGGAGAGGACAGTCCCCTGTGGTGCCCCTGTGTTGCTAATCACCTTGTCAGACACACACTGTGGGAGACGTACATATTGTGGTCTTCCAGTCAGGTAATCAACAATCCAGGACACCAGAGAAGCATCCACCTGCATCGCTGCTAACTTATCACCCAGGAGGGTCGGCCTGATGGTGTTGAAAGCACTGGAAAAGTCAAAAAACATGACCCTCACAGTGCTCGCCGGCTGGTCCAGATGGGTGTAGACACACGATTGAGCAGGTAGATGATGGCGTCCTCTGTTCCGAGACGAGGCTGATAAGCGAACTGAAGGGGATCCAGATGTGGTCTTACTATGGGTCGCAGCTGGTCCAGGATGAGCCTTTCCAGGGTCTTCATGATGTGGGAGGTCAGTGCCACGGGCCTGTAATCCTGGGGCCACTGGGACGAGGCGTCTTTGGTACAGGGACGAGGCATGATGTCTTCCACATCATCGGGACCCTCTGCAGACTCAGACTCAGCATAAACAGTTTATGAAAGACTCCACACAGCTGGGGGGCACAGGCCTTGAGGACAAGGGGACTCACTCCGTCTGGTCCAGCATACTTGCCTGAGTGAAGTCTCCTCATTTGCATCTCAACCTGGTATTGAGTGAAGGTGATGGGTGGGGGAGGGGTGTCAGGAATCTCACAGGAGGCAACATGTGAAGAGAGAGGCTGGCACAGTGGTGTGGCTCTGGATTCCAGGCTGACTGCAGGTGAGGTTGTGGGGGTGGGAGCAGACACTGTGGTGTCGAATCTATTGAAAAACAGATTCAACTCGTCGGCTCTATTCTCACCTCCCTCAGCTCCCCTGCTGTTGGTTGGCCTGAATCCAGTGATGGTCTTCATGCCCCTCCACACCTCTCTCATGCTGTTCTGCTGGAGTTTCCACTCCAGCTTCCTCCTGTAATTGTCCTTAGCCTCTCTGATCTTGTCCTTTAGTAACACCTGGACCTTCCTCACCTCCTCTTTGTTGCCCCTCTGAAAGCCCTCTTCTTGTTGTTGAGGAGGGCTTTGATGTCCTTAGTCACCCACGGCTTGTTATTTGGGTAACAATGAACAGTCTGAGCTGGAACAATGGAGTCGGTGCAGAAAGTTATGTAGTCTGTGATACACTCAGTAAGCCCATTGATGTCCTCGGCGTGAGGCTCACAGAGTGTTTCCCAGTCGGTCACCTCGAAACAGCCCTGTAGTTCCGCTATTGCCTCCTCTGACCACCTCCTAACAGTCCTGGTGGTCACAGGTTCCCTCCTCACAATTGGCACATAGCGGGGGGTGAGGTGAATCAGGTTATGATCTGACCTACCAAGTGGGGGGAGGGAGGAGGAGCTGTATGCATCCTTGACGTTAGCATACAGTAAGTCTAAAGTTTTCTCTCCCCTGGTGGGACAGTCCACATATTGTTTGAATGTTGGTAGTGTATTGTCCAGTGATACATGGTTGAAGTCACCCGAGATCACAATAAAGGCACTCGGGTGCTGAGTCTGTAGCCGAGCTATGGCAGAGTGGATAGTGTCACATGCAGCTGTGGGGTTAGCAGAGGGGGGAACATAAACAGCCACCAAGATGACGTGAGAGAATTCCCTGGGTAAATAATACGGCCTGAGTCCAACAGCACACAGTTCAGTGTCCGGGCAACAAATCCTTTCTTTGATTGTTATGTTGGCAGGGTTACACCACCGGTTGTTAACTAAAACAGCAAGCCCACCTCCTTTACGCTTACCGCTAGCGATGCTGTCCCTGTCCGCCCGAACAGTGTGGAAGCCTTCCACGGAAGCATTCTCATCGGGAATGACCTGGTGCAGCCATGATTCGGTGAAACACATCAGGCTACACTCTCGGTATTCCCTCTGACTCCGTACCAGTGCTGAGAGCTCGTCGATTTTACTTGCCAACGATCGCACATTTCCCATCACGATAGACGGCAGACACGGTTTAAACCTCCTCCTCGCTTCGAGCCTCCGCTGTCTCACCGTCACCTTTTTTCTTCTCTTCTGTCCTTGACCTCTGCATCCCCGATGTGTTTTCCTCCAAATTTCAGCTGGTACTTCTGCGGGCACTTCTGCGGGCCTGGCCAGCGAGCCGGCCGGCATCAGGGCGATCAGCTGATCTCTGGAGTAAACAGTCCGTGCGTGTAGGAGATGTGCCGCGGTCCCGTTCCATGATAAAAGTAACAGTTCCACGGCCACCAGAAGAACAAAAACTCTCTCAATCCACATGATTGAGTAAGAGATAGAAAATGGAGGAAAATACAAGTCAGAAAAAAAAAAAGAATACGTAAGAAAAAAGAGCTAAACTAAGAGAAAAGCAGGAGCGACTGTAACAGGCTGCACGCTGGTTGGCGCATGCGCACCTATAGATACTCATAGCATTTACAATACCATGGAAACTGTGTGTATTGATATATTCTGTAATTCAATGAGAAAAAAATGAAACAGCAGTGGTCAGTGGAAACCAAAATCTACAACCATATAAGGGCATAATTCAAATATCAAGTTAATAAAGTTAAAAATTGCAATGACAGGCTGATCCAACTTCTGTCCTAATGTGGCTGATTAGACACCATCTGACATCTGGGCACGATTATTAGACACTGGGGTTTGTGTCACTGAGCTCCTGGACACTTTGCAGAGATATATGGCAGGACCAGATGCACCTCTCAAGTCCTTTGCCAGGTCTTTGATTGGGTTTTTTTTCTTAATGATGTGACTTTCAGATACTGTTCATCTTCTGCAGGTTGTTTTTTTCCCCTTAAAGCCTGCAACAGTTTTTGTCCTCCACTAGTCACGTTTCTGCAAATCTATTAAGGACACAGTGCACAGCATTACTGAAATGCCAATTTTCCAGCTAAAAGCTCTTTGGGAACTATTTCAGAAGTTTGGGGGAAAAAACATACTGTAGAAATAATTGCTATTAAGTCGTTTTACTTTTTGTTGTTTTATTTTTAAAAGATGTTTCTCCTTTTTTATTGTAATCACTAAATGACAGTTCACTATGGTTACAGAGCTACAGAAAAAACAAATGGAACTGCAGAAGGCAGCGGCAGCGATGAAAGATGTCGTCTCAGCACTGAGAAAATGAGCTGATGAGCAGCTACTGAGTGTTAGCTATTAAAGCTAGGTTCTTTTGTCTGTGATTACATTTTATAAAAAAAATTTATACTTTTATATGGAGTAGGCCTTAATATGAATGATATTTTAGCTGAGTGATTAACTGAAATGATTCAAGTTTTTTTTTTTGTTTGTTTTGCTGTATTTGAGTTACTAAAAATGTTTGTTTTTTTGTAATTCAAGACTGTTCTTTTTTTTCTATATTATTGTACAATACAAAGATTTATATCAAACTATATCCCACAAGATTCTTAAACTGTAAAAAAAAAAACACTGAAAAAGGTTTACCATATGTTTAAGGAATTTCTATGTTCATAGTGTCTGTTTTTTCTTATGTTATTTATCAAAGAGGAGTTTTAAAAAGTAAAATGTTTTAAGACGGTAATGACAGTATGCCAGAGATGTGTTGGATTAATCACTTGAAGTTAAGTTACTTGAGCAGTTTTATATTTTTTTTCCCATACTCTGATCATTTTATATTTTTCATTTTTGCAGAAAGTGTTAACATGTTCTAGTTTACTGGCACCCCAAAGAAAAACCTGATGTGCTGTTTTTCTGACTTTACTATGATTTAAAAAAACAAAACAAAAAAAAAACAAACAGTTTTCTTTCTCCATTTTGTCTCATTGAGAAGTTTACAGATAAGATGATCAAGGTGTTTTTTTTATTTATTTGCATAGGTTAGATAATTTAACTGGCACTTTATAACCCTCAGTTTCAAATATCTTTCAAAAATATTCACAGCAGTAGTGCAGAAGTTACAAAAACCACTTTATAAATGCTTATACTGTAAAATTCTCTTTTCAACATACAGACTGAAATCTAAGAAAGGTCACATGCCTTAAACCGGATTCATACGTTTCTGGTTTGTGTGAACTGACAACCAGGCATGTTTAACTGCCTGTAAATATAAATTATGGTGCTTTAGCTGCTTATAATAATTCAATCTAACATATGGAATCTGATAATCAAGAATGAAATGCAAAAAATTGTAAAGATTAAACCCAAGTTCCCATCTTACAATCTAAACAGAAAACTGGAAGCCTTGAAGTTGACCTACACAGATCTAATCAAGCCTTTAAGGCTTAAGGCTCAGTGTCCTGTCTTTAAATACTGTAAGGATTTAAAAAAAAAAAGTTTAGATTCTCATACTTCAAACCATTCAATCTAAATGACATCCAAACTATGATGACCTCTTATAGTAAAGAGAAGTAAACTCATCCTGAAAGTACACATGCAAAATCTACAAGTAACTTGGTCACTTAAACAGAATACTAGAAATCGTAAAGCCGTCACAGGCAACTGGCAAGAATAGTTTTAGTTCAAAACAAATAAGTTCAAGCATTGTCATGTCTCTCCATTAATCTGAGCTCCTACTTTACACAATGTGTAAGTTAAAAGTCAGGCACTGTTGGAAACAGCTACTGTAACAGCATTATGGAACAATGCTGCAACCTTACAGCTCTGATTTTAGTAATTTAAGTAATCTGGAAGAAGATGAACCACAAATCTAACAGTGATGGTAAATCTAAGGATTTCTACTGAAATTATGTGCAAATCTCCATCTGATGGTAACGATGTATTAGGCAAAATCCTTCCTGGAGTCCAGCCGTGTGTTTTGCATCAGCCCAAATCTGTACCTTGAGACGTGGTCAATTTTTGAAGGCTCCGCAGCGACTGGCTCGACAAATGAAATCTTTGAGCAGATTACCGTCAATTTGCCAGAAAGCAGCAGTCTGAGTCACCTCAGTCAGGTGATTTACGCAGAATTTGAAGCAGAATTCTTCAAGGTCCTGAGTGACAGAGAAGAGAACAAATAAATAAACTGTTCTTCAACTTGGTCAAACGCTCCAACAACAGACAGTCTGAGTGTCTCGTAGTGCTGACCCAGCTTCCTGCATCCTGGTGATCCTCCCAGTTCCACTGTTCTAAGCCCCAGTTGCTCACACATGGTTTGCTTTTTTCTCATGTAGCACACAGCTGCCAACAGTCTGCATCAGATGTGTTTTATTCACTACATGTAACTTAGTGTTGTTAGGTGAGGGAGACGGAGTGGATGCATGAAGGGTGCAGGAGGAAGGAGGCAGCACACATGATGCCCACTCTGTAGTGGTGGATGCATCAGACTATTAGTAGCCCTGCTGACATGTCGGTACAATATGACATCAAATAGTCTTTGTATTGCTGAGCTGGTGGGTTAAAAGCAGATTAATGTTGAGTCTGACTGTGTCATGCATTCTCACTTCTGTTGGATAAAAGATCAAAGCAGGGCTGCAGTGCATGTGTGAAAATGGCTAAGGAGGCAGCTGCGGATCAGCAGGTGGAGCTGGTCATCCACCAATCAGGACTGGTGGGTGTTTTCATTAGCTGTTTTTTTTTTTTTGAAGGTCAATGTTTTAACAAAGTTACTTTATCTTTTCTCTGCTGCCTCAAACAGATTTGTTCTGAAAAAACAAACAAAAAAACAAAAACAAAAAGTTTTTCACCCCAGCAAGAGCAAAATCTACTTTAAAGGGCTTCAAGAATGAAAGATTTCAATCATTCATGCATGCAGTTATGAAGTCCTTCATAAGAACATGAAGAACTGAGGTATGAAATTAAAAATTCTTCATTTTAATATTGCAGCTTAGTATTTTTGCAAAAACACAAAAGCACAATTGACTCTCTAGGCTCAACAAACGCTTGCTGAAAAAAAAAATGAATCAAAATTTTAGTGGATTTTATTTGAAATTAAAAAATTTTATTTAACCACAAATACTTAAAAGACAGGACAAATGATTAAGGGGATAGCAATTTAGGTTTTTACTGGAAACAAAGGAACAGTAAGTACACTGTACTTTTCAGGGTGAGGGTCATATTACTGAGTGGCCTAACTTTGTCTAACTTCCAGGTATTTTATTTTCCTCTACACTTCTCTTGAAAGTTTGAACAGTGATTTATAAAAATAATAAGTTAGACTCGGCTGCATTGTTATAAGGTTACACAGGCCTGAAAATTTTGATACATATTTTTTCTGTAAGTTGGTAAGGAAGAACAGTCTTTATGACATTTATATTGGTAAAATAAAACGACAGTTGAATAGCAGAATAGTATAAACTATGAAAAGTGTATAGTAAAATTATACCAAACATGCACTACAAGCAGAGGCAGTTTCACTGTGACTGGCAGTACAGAAAGATTAAACTTTTGGGATGAGCACTAAAGCACAATAAAAGGCTCTGGAGACTCGTTTTTCAACTTTTTGAAAAACTTTGGTTGTAATAGTTTAATAGTTTAACTATACTTAAGAATAATTCATCATTAATCATTACTAACACTGCATTTAACTATGCAGCGTTATTAATTTGTTACATCGATGGATTAAACACAACTTTGAGACAATTTTCTTTTCTTTTTTGGATTTGGTTTTTTTTTGTGTTGAAGAATTTTGTTTTTAAAACAACAACAACAACAACAACAACAAAACACATTATTGGGGGAAGAAAAAGTGGGTAGTTCAATTCCCACTGACTTTTCCTTGGACAACATACTGCAAATTGCAACAAAGCAATGTATATAAAGAATTAGCTTGATAACAATGTGTGTGTGAATGGTTAATAATGTGGCTTGTAGTATAAAATTCTTTTGAGAGGTCAGTAAGCCTAAGAAAGTGCTTTAAATACCAGCCCAAATACATTCATTGTCTATATTTATCCACCACTGTTTAAGGTTGCTAGCATCACTACCTAATGTGAATCACTGCCTGATTTGAGTCATTTTCCTGCACATAAGGTTCACCTGCCTGTGGTGTCTGTCAGGTTCACATATGTGTGACTCACAGTGACGGTGACAGCTACTGTTGGAAAACCAGATGCTTTAGCATTTATGTTCTGTCTAATTTGTAGCCTAACTGATTAAAGAAGTGTGGGAGCATTTTCAGGATTTCATATTAATGCTAATGTAAATGTAATTAACAGCACACAAGTCATAATAAAATGAATTTCAGACTTTATTGGTATGTCCTATTAAAAGTTCCAGACGGCCATGTCTGGCTTTGAAATTGAAACCTATGCTAACAAATACGTTCTATTACCTCTGTGCAGACAGGCTAATAGTTTCCCTCTTGTTTGCATTATTTATGCAAAACAGGCTGCTGGCTGTAGCATCATACTGGCTGTACAGACCTGTGAGTGAAATCAACCTTCTTACTGCATTCTCAGTAGGAGTGAATAAGCTTATTTAGAAAACAAAGATTTTCACAAAACAGAACTAAGGGAGCCAGCATTCTATGATTTAATCTAAAATATCAATTTTACATGTGTTAAAGTAAAAAGAGCTTTCAAGGACATTTGCATATTATCACATGCAGCTGATAGTTGGTAGACTAACCTCTGCATCATAGCGCACAGCGGCAGACAGCAGAGAAAAAGCATTTTCGACGATGATTCCCCTCTTGATAATGTGCTGACACAGGCGTTTTAGGCGGTTCTCACAGTAGGAGGTGGCCAGATCCAGGAGCCCTGAGCGCACACAGAACCACACAGGACTGGAATTATGATTATATTCAAGAACTTTTAGTTGAAGTCCCTTTCACAGAAATAAATAAAAATACAAAAAAGTAATAAACTCATGACAAATAGATATCGTTGTTACTAATATCACTGATACTAGGTCAATGGGTAGTACTGAAATCACTCAGAGATCATGTGGTGAAGTGTATGTGAGACTGACCAATAGCATCCTCGGGAGGCAACTCCACACTGTCTGTGTAGAGGAACTCCAGAAACGAGCGGTACACAGGGTACGAGAACTGGTCTATTTCAATCACCTCCTTCATGTCTTCGTTCCAGTGAGACTGGAACATTGATCTGAAATGTTCACACCTGCACAGCAAACGATACAGACACAGGTGTTACAAGAACCATTTATTCCCCCAATAATGTGTTTTCTTTTTAAACGGTTTATAACTCCCATAACCCGATAAACCAGCTTGGCTGTTAAATTCAAACCTGATCTTGAGAACTGCTTTGTGGACATAGATGTATTTTCCATCAACACAGAACTTGAGATCCGCTGTCTCTGGGTTGTCAAACTCCTTTTTCAGAGACTGAGCCACAGTCAAGAAGTCATCGTGTTCTGGAGGGGGAAAAAACAGCACACATACAGGTCCCACAACACTCAAGCTCTGGCAACAGAAAGATAACAACTATAGCAATGAGACCAATCCCACTTCCAAAAAGGTGGGAAGCTGTGTAGAAAACACTGAAAGATTTTCAGAACCTTTAAACCCTATATTTGGTAGACAAAGACAAGACAAAGACAGCATTACACATGTTGAAACTGAAACTTTTATTACTTTTTGATAAATATATGCTCATTTTTAGTTCGAGGCCAGCATTACACTTTTAAAAAATGGACAAGGACAACAAAAAACGTTGTAAGGTATTCTCTAGTTAAATAAAATAAAAAAAATTTTTAACAGCGATTTGGATTTGGTCTTATCCAGCTAACCTCAGGGTTAACTCTGGGTTCTCTGTATTATGTAAGGCAGTTTACTTCTTTCCAGGATACATTGCCAGCTTACACTGTAGAGATAACCTGCTACACAGTAAGTTTTCCTGTTTCACTTTAGAAAGCTAAAAATGTTTACTTTAGTTTTTATTAGTTTGAGTGTTAGTTTTAGTCTTTCTTTAAAAATTTAGTTTTCAAAGTTCACAACATCATTTCATTTTTTCCAAAAGTCTATATTTTATTTGTATTTTTTGTTAACTAAAATGTTTTTACATTACATCTTTACCTAGTTGTGAACCACCTTTGTGTGACCGCTTAGCCTGATTCCAAGTGTTGGGATAAGGAAAGCCAGATAATGGAATGAAAGCCTGGGTGAGCTGAACTTGTTTCGTAATGCAAGCCAGAGATGCGTTGACTTCAAGATTGGACTTTCCAAATGAAAACTGCTCTTTGGTCTCCACGTTATAGCCAAAGAACCAACTTTCACTTTTCAGTGAAGGTCAGTTTGACACAAGTTGGCATGTAAGACTTCCAAGGAGAGGTGCACAAGAAGATGACATTGAAGAGAACAGTGGACAAATAAGGGAAGGTTTTTATCTTTTATGGACGGAGTCAATACATTTTACAATTGCACATCAAATAAAAAGAGCTTCATAAAACAAACAGTGATCAATAGCCATACATTTGTGGTTAATGGAATGAAATCCAAAAATTAGTAATACTACATAATTAGTGCTATCCTTGGACTCTTTCAGATCATTCTCTTACCCACTGAAAGAAGCCTCCACATTACTGAGGGGGTGGCAAAGCAGGCAAAGACATCATCGGTGCAGGCAAAGTGTGTCAGGTGAGGGAGCACTATGGACTGGCCCCTGCACTGGCCCCACATGTACACCTGACCGCTCTGGGTTTTAGCAGCTGACGTGTGTGTGGAGTGACAGGAAGCAATCTCTACAATTCTGTTAAAGGAGCAGAGAAGTCAGCGGATGGTGGTGCAGGGACAGGATGAGTTAGATGTGTGATGCTTTACCTCACCTCTCTTTCTCAGTCAGAATCTGAACTGGGCTCAGCTGGTTGCTCTTGTTGCCAGTGCCCAGTTGTCCATATGTGTTGGCACCCCAAGCGTAAAGCAACCCTTCATCCGTTAGTGCCATGGAGTGTGCATATCCTGACACGATCTAGAGAGGGGGAAAAAAAATCAAACAATTTTCAATATAACGTAGTATTTGAAACTCTTGTCTACAATAAATAAAATAATTCCAAATTATTAGCAACATTTTTTATACATTCTATACTACAGATGTGCTTATTACAGCCTCTTAATTGTGGTTTCAATTCAATTTTATTTATACAGCACCAAATCAAAACAATAGTTGCCTCGAGGCGCTTTATATTGTAAGGTAGACCCTATAATAATACAAAGATTCCTGTGTAAAATATTGTATTTTGGGAACTTCACTCCTTTTTGGACAACATACAGCATCACACTCAAATTCTGGTGTTTTATAATTACTCTGGCAGTAGTTTTACAGGAGTGCTAAGATTTTAAATCATTACTGTAAAGAATGCTCATTTAAGGAAAACAAAGACAAAACATAAAAACAAGTGAATATAAACCCAACTACAATTTAAATAAATAAAGTCACAGGCCCTGCATAAATGTCCATATCTAACATAGAGCTACTTATGCCATTTATTCTGCACAAAAGAATATATAAAATATAAAAGCACATAAACTGTAATCCAAAATGTACAGTCTTTCATACATGTGCAACAAACAGTCGTTCGTACAGAACTCATGCATGACGAGTTCTTCACTGTGAGTGAGGAAGACACAACGGTGAAAGACCAATAAAACGAAGCTAAAGCTAAAACTATCCAGAGCTCCAAGCCTGCTATAATCCAGCAGCCTCGGTATGAACAGTCAAAGGACTGAAACAGTTACAAGGACAATTTTGGAGACAAGCGAAATAACAGAAACAGGTCAATATCCTGCTTTCTGTTGAAGTTTAGTTAAGTAAATATTTGAAGAAATATATTAGTAAATGATGTAAGTTCCTGACATTTGGTTTGTTATAGAATTTTGTAGTAACTGCTTTTGTACACCACGATAATATGACAGCAATTCATTTTCATTTGTTTCAGCGAAAGAAACAACTCACTGCAGTTTGGGAGGAATAGTAAAATTTACTAATTTATTTATGAAAGTACTTTTCTGCATTTAAAAAAAACAATAAGAAAAGGTCTAATCTTTGATATTTTGGATAGAGATGTTATTATATATCATTTTAGATACTGGTATGTGTGGATTTTTGTTTTCTATGATTAGCATACGGATTATTGAGTTTCTGACACAAACAAGTCTAGTGATTATAATCAGTTCATTCCTGAGTCCTTGTTTTTGCCAAATTCCCTCAAGGCATTCCTAAGAGTTGCCCAACCCAAAAACATCAGGATCTAGCTGTAGTTGAGGCATATAAAAACATTAGAATATATGTCTTTTTTTTTTTTAAAACTTCATACAAATTGTTTCACAGTAACCTGACGTGTGTAATCTCACACCTGTTGCACACATAAACCCTGCAGACCAACAAGTCGACAGGGGGTCAGCTGGTTCCCATTGTTTCCAAGTCCAAGTTGTCCGTTGCCGTTATAGCCCCAACCGTACACCTAGAGAGACAAAAAGAGAACATGAGTGCTGCTTCAGTGAGAGTAAGCCAATACTGTTTCATAAAGCTCCAGGATAAGTTAAAAAAAAAATCACCTCTCCATTGTCCACTACTGCCAGGGATGAGGTCTGACCACAGACGATACTCACAGCCACCTTGTTCTGCAGGCAGCTGGACACCCTGCGGGGTGTGGGCTGGTTCGCTGTGGAGCCTGAGCCCACTTGACCACAGTTATTGTAACCCCATGCATACACCTGCCGGGCAAAAAGATAAAGTTAAGAATAAGAACAGGATGAAATTCTCTATGAAAGCCAGATACTTTAAAAATAATTTGAAAAGGTTATTACCCCCTCTCACTTCTCCTTCGAGTCAACAGATTTATCTTAAGGTCAAAGTGACAATGTAAAATAAAGCTACTTAAAATGATAGTTCTTACTGCTTACATTGTTTGTACTGACAACATAAAGGCACACAAGGAATGATATATGGGAATTATAAATATCACATTATGGTTTGCATCCAAATATCATGTCACATTTGACCTCTGACCTCACTTTTATATTTCACATCTTTTTTTAAGCCGACCCCATAATGTGTTACATCTTTAAAGAAAGTACTGTAGAGAGAAAGAATGAGCTGCATGGTTACTGTCAGAGATGAGGTATAATATTATATATGTGTGGAAATATGTATGTGTATGTATGTACGGATGCATACATGTATATATACATATATGTATGTATGTGCATGTATGTATAACTTGTACATATCTTTCTTGTGTAAATGTAAATTTGTCTGTTATTGTGTAAATACTTACGCTAATGTGTACTTCACACACATGGAGAAATGCCAAACTGCCTTTCATTGTTCTTGTAACAGTGACAATAAAAAGCTATTCTATTAAGCTCAAGTTATTCGCGTTATTTAAGTCATTTACAAATCAATACCTATAATCTTTTACCTACTCCTCCATAATGTTTGAAATCAAAGCAAACATGTCATGCTACCCTTATCTCATTTTTAGTGTACTACAAACGTATGCATTTATATTTTATTTTTAATAACATCATTTATGAAAGTATGTGTAAAACAAAATGACATGTAAATATATTACACTAAATAATATAAAAATATCCCCTTAAATGTAAATACTGTACAAAGAGTGAGCTGACTTGGCTCATGTTTTATGGTTATTACTGTTTTTTTGTTTGTTTAATTTTTTTGTAAGATTTGCAAGAACATGTCAGCCATGTTCACAGCAGTGAATGATGGATTTATTAAGATCCAAATGTGATTATTGTATCAGCTGTATAACAAGAAAAATACACAGACTCTCTAGCTACCAGGATAGCTGCATCCCTCATATTAAAAACAGGGGAAAAAAAAGTTTGACCAGCCAGGCCAGGATCTAACGGAGCTCACTAACTGTGTGAAGCAACTCGAAGCACAATACATTCCTTGTGGCTGGGCTTATTTTTCTAGGTTCTTAACTCAGGGGGCTCAAATGTAGCTGTGACTGGAATACGGGTAAGTGTTAGGGTCCATTAACTAGGTAACAGCTTTAGTCAGAGCAGAGTCACCTGTGTAACTAGAAAAGTTTCAAACAGGCGTCTGTATTTCCCTCTCTGTAAATCTGCTGTAAAAGTGAATTATTTTTGTCTCTCTTCTTTAACTCCTACAAACTCACTTCTCCTGTATCAGTTAGAGCCATTGAGTGGTGAGAGCCACAGGCCACCTCTGTGACCTTCTTATTGAGCAGGTTGGCAGACACGAGCACTGGAGCTACTCCTTGGTTGGTTGTCCCATTTCCCAGTTGGCTGTAGCCATTATGGCCCCAGGCAAATAGCTCTCCATCTGAAATACAAAGAGTTTAGTCATTCTCCTGCACTTTTTAATCCAACTGTAAAGAGGAGGATTACATCTTTTGTTAAGCTACCCTCTGTGGCCAGCAGGATGTGGGGTCCACTACCGTAAGTCAGGCTAACCACCTTTCTGCCACTCAGGAAGTCCAGTTTTTTGGGTACAATTGTGCTCAGGCTGTCCCCTGTTCCCAGGCAGTTACTGCAGTTCAGCCCAAACACAAACACCTGAGTGTGGAGGTCGGGGGAGAGGAAAAAAGAAAAAAAGAATTCAGTGTTGATTGGTGATAAGGAGTGCTAAACAGACAGCGCCAGTCAGCTGAGTAGGGAACGGGTCAGAGTACAAACACAGAAACATCAACACCAGCAGGCAACACTGAGAGGAAGATGTGTGTTAATTGTGCAATAACACAAATATAAAAGATCATTTTAAAAGAAAGTTGCATTTTCTTTCCTGACTTAAATTCATTACAATGGTATGAAAAATCTTTTTACACTTGACAAAGTTCCCATTCACAAACCTCTAAAAAGTGTTTTTCTTATCACAGTGGTACCACGATTTAGCCACTTAGCATGTGTTAAAGCAGAGGTGCTCACATTTCTAGGAGCCAGGGAAAGGACCCCCCTTTCTCCTAAAATCTTAACATTGATTTAGCTGGCTTGGGTTTCGCATCACCTGATAATGTAGACTGACTCAAATATTTGTTAATGCTTATGAGCTAGATAATGTGCCAAGATACAAACCAAAAGGAGTGATTTTTTGCAGCCTTACAAACAAACTAACATAGAATTTCTTCTGGCCAAACAATAACATTTTTTCTTATTCATTTATTTATTTAGTTGGTTAGTTAGCTAACCTTTATTTAACCAGGAGAATATGACTCACAACCACATCCTTGCCAAGAAAGACAGCAATACAAACAACAGAGGTGTGTGTGTTATGCAACTACGTTTTATGCAACACAGACAAATACACACAGACCCCCCCCCCCCCCCCCCCCCACACACACACACACACACACACACAAATTAACTACACTAAAATACAGCTTATTAAAAAAACGAAACTAACCAAAATGTAAAACTACAACTTCAGCATCAATAAAGCCTGAAACCTCAACAGTCTTTATAATAAGTCAGTGTCAGTAACGAGGGTAATAATATTCAGGCAAAACATTTTCAGGCTGAAGGAACTGCAGTCTCTTTAAGTTCATTTAGTGAGACCAGTTCCTTAAATGTAGTTCATTTTGCATCTGATTCTAGGAGTAAGGAGCTGCAAAGTTTAATGCTCTTTCTCGAAGTTCAGTGGAAATCTTTAGAGCACACAGAAGATACGAGTCTTGGGACCTAAGGCAACAAGTTAACAAACTTTCTGATCAATGTAAGTCAGTAAGATGGGAACAGACCAAGATATTATCAATAAGACTATATCGGTGGTTGAGTCTTCAAAATGACAAAGCAGATCACCCGACCTAAGCAGGCAATGTACAGCATGTGACTCTTAAAAGCTTTAAGGTTTGTAATAAATCTCAGTGCTCCATGATAGACAGAATCCAGCATATGTAAGCACAGTGAAGATCCCCTTGCATCACCATAATCGAACACTTTCACAAGAGTGGAATCAACATCTTAAGAGGTAACGACACACAACACGGTATAAACTGTGTATATAAATTTTATTTAAAAAAATTTAAAACCCCTTAGCTGGGTTGCAGAATCCTGGAGAACCACTGAGCTAAAACACCAACAACATCAAAGTAATTCAAATCATCTAGGTAGCTACTGCAAGTTTTAGTACTAATTAAAAAAGGATGAAAGGACCAGAGATCCATCCTTTTAAACAACTGTCTTGAACCCTTTAAGCTTATTTTGTAATTTTGGCTGTAAAATTACAAGATAATTCTCATCTTTCAGGAGCATCTTTTCAGTGTTCAGACAGCAGAACTTGGGAATGCTTTGTGAACCGTGATACACTGAATATCCCTGTAAAGCCTGCCTTCTTTTCTTTCCGAAACTTTTTTTTTTTTTTTTTTAACAAAGCCTTTGCTAAAAGGGGTCATCTGATTGTTGGGGGTTTCTTTGTTTTCTCTGAGTTATTGTAGGGTCTTTATTACCTTACAATATAAGGTGAAGCGCCTTGAGGCACCTGTTGCTATTCTGTGTTACATCATGTGAATAAATACTTTTCAGCAAGTCTTAACAGTTTTGAGCTTTTTTAAAATGGCAAATAACTGATTTTCAACACTAGCATTCAACTGCAATCTTTACACATCAGGCTGTTACAATACAACATTTAAAATTGTTATTATTGTTATTTATTCTTTAACTTTTGGTTCTCTTTATGGTCTCCAGAAGAAAAATCTGGTTCTTTCCCTGGAGCTATTGTCAGAAATATTGAGTACTACAGCTTAAAACACACAGCTACTGAGAGGCAGTCTCTGTTTATCATGCTACAATAACACTGACATAAAAAAATGCAATGCAGTGTAAGCATGCTCTGTGGTGGATTACCTACTGTAAGCATGTTTTCTTCTACCACTGATTAAAGTTGAATGCGCTATAAACTGAACCCAACAGCTGTTTTCAAGGTAGGATACTCAAACAATCCACACTAGGCTGAATGAAATTATAATAATGTAAACATGAAATGTAGCTTAAAGGCTAAAAACGTGGAAAAACAACAGGTCATCTGACTATCAATTATGCAACATGAAGCAAGCTTCAAAGCTTTCAGTCATCTTGCTCTTGATTAACACACAACCACAACCCCGTTTTCCCTCTGACCCCTCACCTCATCATCATTGGTAATGTAGATGGCCTCATTAGCAGATGATCCAAACACGCATGCTTTCCGTATGGAAGCGAGCTCCTGAGGCCCCATCAGGCTGAAAATGGGCCACTTGGTTACATCCACCATGGTGTCCTCACAGTATGTGGCAAGGGCGGCAGGCTAGAAGGATGAACTTCAATCCACAGGTGGGACACGGGACAGGGAGAGGGGGAAGGTCTGAAGAGGCAAGGCTGCCAGCGCTGCAGTCACTGGACACAAACACAAGCAAAATTGTAATGTCTTCCAGATAATCATCTTTTCACAATATATTGTTAGTTCAGTGTAGCTTTAATTCAAAGGGCTTCAGGTTTAAGTCAAGGGTTTTTGGCTTGTTTAAAAAAAAAAAAAAAGAGTCAATGGCTGTTTTGGAAGTACAGCCATTTTCATACATATTCAGAAGTTTTATGGCCAGATAAAGGCTATTCACTTGTTATTTCATGACAAAGTGTTTAATTTACATTTTATTGCTTTTTATTGTAATTTTAAATATGAGGTCCAAAGAGACATCAGTGCAAGTGGAGGAGGTCATCATTAGGTGGAAAAAACAAAATAAAACATATCAGAGATTTAAAAGAAAAAAAAACTTTAGGTGGAGTCTAATCAACAATCTGCTACATTCTTTAAAAGAATCAGTGCACCAGGAACCTCAGCAAGACCAAAAGGCCTGCATCTGATTCTAGGAGTAAGGAGCTGCAAAGTTTAATGCTCTTTCTCTAAGTTCAGTGGAAATCTTTAGAGCATACGAGTCTTGGGACCTAAGGCAACAAGTTAACAAACTTTCTGATCAATGTAAGTGGCGTGGCTACGTCTACAGCCTGTCCGCAGCTCGGACACAAGCATTTCACTACATGTTGTGCTCTGTATAATTGCTTTGTTTGTTTAAGTTTATATGGATGCCAGTGGAGCTAGGCCACTACCGTTCATTGGTGATGTGACTGCTCACAGAAGCAGCAAGGTGAATTATGACATGTACAGCCTTTACTTCTTGCTCAGATTCAAGCAAGTGCTACAAAAATGATCATTTTGCTCTTCACAACCGATATCAGATGACACTGCGAGCTGGGCAAATGTAACGTTGCATCCTTACTTTTATTTTCCCCGTAGCTTACTCTAACTCAGTTTTAAAAAGTATAATTCTGCTTTGGAGAATCTTCTACTTTATATTCATCACAGACATCACACACACACATGCTGTTTTGACTCTCACTTATATGGTTATGGGTAAACACAGCTTATGATCCTCAAGGTTTTCTGATAAAATGGGTGTTAAAAGCGTAGTAAGCCGGGTCACAGAGGTTCTTTGTTTGGTAACAACACGGCTAAATCAGTGTTGTGCTAAACACTAACTAAAACTTTAAGTATAATATCTTTGCTTATTTTGGTAGACTGTAATCAACAGGATTTATAAAGGGGTCATATATAAAATAAAGAAATGACTTTTGTTGCAATAATCTTTATGATTCTGTGTTATGCACCCACATTACAATTGCTCCGCACCTTTAAGGTGACTTTAAATATCCCAAAAGAACTGTGATGTTCTATTTTTTTTTTGCTGCCCTCTTGGCTAGCTTTTTCTTGAAAAAGCTATTTTAAATGTCAGTTAGACTTTCTCCCTGGATAAGTAAAGGATATATAAGAGCCTTTTTCCCCTGTTAAAAGCGTCTACCTTATGACATGAATGTTCTTTCTGACTAAAACTAACTTGGTATCATTCAGAAGAGATACGCTTGACAAGTAATTTACAACACTTTAAAGACGGACTATTTATTTGTTTATTTTTGACAAATGCCGGAAATCCCTTTTTGACACAACACAGGCGTCATCCCGTAAATACCCACCCCCTCCCACCTGCATCATGTGTAATGATTAAAACCACTCGTAGTTACTGTTACATGACCACAGCTTGCTGTTTAATGTTTGCTATTGTTAACAAAGGGATTACTCAGCACAGTGAGTCCAGCTGACGCATCATAACACACCGTGAATGCAGCTGGTACTTGACGCACCCGCCGGGAAAATCGGTACTAACTTATCTTTTAATTGGCTACAGCTAGCGTTTAAGATTTTTTTTAAAAAACAAACAAACCACATTTCAGTTCGATTGTTTGTTTGTTTTTTTAAAGCTACAACATTAATACGTTCTCGTTGACTCACCCGTTAGGCAGGTCCGCTTCTACGGCCGTTGGCGCTTGCTCCTGGCCGCCTCACCATGGCACATAACGGCTGACAGTCCGTGGCCGCCGTGCTCAAGTGCGTTTATTTGCGGAAGTGAGGAGAAAAATAATGTCACGTGATTCTAAGACCAGCACAGTCGATTGCAGATTTCACCAATATTTCCCTTTCGCCTCTATCCCCACCTCGCATTTTCCTACCAAATCTAGCTGTGGTTTTCAGCTAGATTAGTATGCAGTTAACCGCCAAGTAGTACACTAGATTTCACATTCATTCGCCGAAGAGGAATATAGAGGAATATTTGGTCAGGTTTAAGAAAAATAAGACTTTTGTTAGATAGTTATTCTTTTATGCCGTATCCAAAATGCAACATGGATATAACCAGAACTTAATAAACACCTAGGATTTGAAGTTGGAGACATCTGGTCTTTTGAAGCCCAAATTTCAGAATTAATATTTTTATACTCAGGGAGTTTTGTTTTTTTGTTTTTTTTGATGCGGTGGGGAGACTAGTAGTGTGTTTGTGTCTGTTATTTGGAAGTGTAAAGAACAATCCTGACGCACAGTTTAAAGTACTGTATTCTTTAATGTCTTAAACATCAGTTATGTACATTGCTTATGTCAGACTACATAAATAAAAATCAGATTTTACCCAGAGGTACCAGAATCAGCAGGAAAAACATCTTCTGAAAATAAAGTTTGCCTTACCTCTCTATAATAAAAGGTCGTTGTTTCTCTGATTGCATTTTCTCATCATTGAAATATACTTTTGAGTGTCTCTCCCTCTTTTTTGTCAGGTTTTTTTTTAAAGTTTCAAGACAACTGAGTGCCCGGACCTGCAAAGGAAGCTTTTGTAATGCAACCAAAACCTTCAGATCTAAGTGGACATTTTAGTCGCCTGCTCTTCCAAAGGTCAAGAAAGAAGTTAGCATCCTCACTCAAGAGATGATCCATTCTCAGATTTGCTGTGTGCCTCTTTAGAGTTATTGATTACATATTCTTCCAAAATGCACCATGTTATGTAAAATACTTGTACTTTACTAAAAAAACAAAACAATTCCCCACGCGGTTAACTTGGTGCATTTGGATCTGGGTCAAGCAGGATTAACGTTCCATTTGGAGGCCTCTTATCTTATTTTGCTTCTTTTTGTACTCCACAGGAAATCCAGATTCAGTGTTTGCTGTCCAAGTTAATCATTGAGTGAGCCAGTGTGTTCATCAACACTCACGTAAGGATTCGGCTAACGGAAACATTCACAGCACAAATGAGGCATTTACTCCTCTAATCTAGTTTTCAGTTGTGAATATGTACAGCAGAGCCAAAAGTCTGGTATAGTCTACATTAGGGTGGCAGAGTAAAGTCTAAAAATTACTTGAAAGACAGCCATGAACCACAAATAAATATCATCCAATTAGCTGCTGAAATGTCTGACCTATAAAAAGGACAAGCCAAAGAAAGGAGAAAGAGTACTTTACATTTGCTTTTTCATAACAAGGTGGTCAGCCTGCTAAAGTCACATAAAGGAAGCGATGCTCATCTTTAAAATATATTCAGAGCACGTAAAAACTGAGCTCAAAGGGAGTTCAATCTTCCTCACAAACACTTAGATCAAATGAATCCCTGCAGAAAGCAACTCGCACCCATACAACTTAAAACAGCTACCATATGTGTGAGTCACAAAAGCACGAAAGATCCAACGGCTAAACAGCAAGTTTATTTTGGTTAGGATCAGAAACACAGATCATGTCCTGAGGGTCAAAGATGAAGAGGAGATATCAGAATCCCCCCCAACTGAAAAATGGCAATGATGGCTTGTGGTTTTTCCAAGAGAAGGGGGGGGGGGGGGGGGGGGGGGGGGGGTGTAAATGGTCGGGATGCATGGTGTCATACAATGTTCAGTGAATGACATTAGAAGGGAAGCAAGTTACTCTCCAACAGCAGGGAGCAGCATTGACCATTTCTACTGGCAAACTCCAACAACAAGGAGACTACGCGTTACTAAAGCCACGTCCCCTATTTAGAGATTCTCCAGTCACTCAGTCTCGTTTCTATTCGATAAAACCTAGCTGTAGTTGAAATGAAAAACAAAAGGCACAATGATTTTCAACTCATTCTCGTCTTTAATATGCACAAGAGTTGAAAGCATCAGTGAGCCACCTTAAAGAGAAGAATTCAATCTAAAATTTATAAAAAGATACAAACAATCAGAGGCCAAAACGCTGTCTGTTGCTTTTCTCCTATTATTTTATTTAAAACAACTTTTCATTAGCAAGTAAAAATCTTGCAACAAACATAAGCTTGTATCCAATGCGGATACAAGGCAACGAAATTGTAAATCTTTAAAGTGGCTCGGTCTAGTCTGCTAGTTCATGACTGTACACCCTCTCTATAGTTTTGTTCAGTAATAAACAGCTAGTCCCAAAAAAACCCCAAAAACAAACAAACAAAAAAGCCTGGGCTGCTCATAACAAGCCCACTCAGTATTTAAAGCCCCAGTGTGACCCCCAGCCCCACCCCCCCAATCCCCACCCCAAACCCCAGCTCTGAACCCCTCTAAGTAGTTAGCAGCCAACCGGGGGGGTGGGATCATTAAGTCTTCCAGACCAGGGCTATGATTGGGATTAAAGTTTGACACATTTACCCCAAGCCTGCACATTAACCAGGACACGGGATGGTACATTTTAAACAGCCCGTCACCACTACAGAGAGGAGGAAAAAACAAAACAAAACCAGCCTGTTCCAATTTATCAGCATGTCATCACAATACATATGCAAGTCGAAAGTAAAAACAATAAAAGAAATATTGCTTCAAAAAGGAGGAAAAAAAAAAAAATAGAGACCCTCCCCAGCCATCTTTGACAGTTATCGTCCATCCAATGACTGTCAGCTGCAGCAGCTTTGTACAGGCTTTATGTAAATATATATTCATTAGACGGCAAGGAGAGATACACATCATGTTTTTGTACAGTTATTCAAATTGAGTGATGACATGTGACCTCTTTATCGAAAGTAGTTAAGTAATGTAAAGATCAGGACCTGCACTCGTTGTACAAGTCTAGTCTTCAGTGAGTGTAGGTCCTTTTTGTCGTTTCTGCAGTCAGACATCGTTATGCCTCTCAGACGTGTGCATAAGACTGAAGAAAACCTAAAAAATAAAATAGTAATACAAAGGAAGCTCCACAGACCCAACCAGTAGAAGCGGAAACATGAAACCAATTTGTCTGTAGCAAAATTTTAAAAAAAAAGAAAAAAAAAAAAAGGTCATATTGCAATTAGGATGATTTTAGCTTTAGGTTGTTTTCTTTCTTTTCGTTAAACCCCCTCCCTCCATTCAGAGTTTCACATTACAGGGGAATCCCGAGCAAATAGTTTACTGAATCCCAGGACGTGGCTGAGCTCAGAAGGAGGATGTCCTGTGGGTGGCGGGGGGAGATAAACGCTACAGCTGACGTGTTCCTCTTAAGTCTCTGTGCCTTCGCCCAAAGGTGATTCCTCCCGTGACAGGTATTCACATCCGTTAAAATAAAAATTTTGCCGCTTTGCTTAATCAGTAGCAGGCAATTAGCAGGTCTTAACAGTTGTATTGGGGGGAAAAAAAAAAAAAAAAAAAAAAAAAAAGAATTATGGCATTTTCTTCACATTTTTGATGATTTTTTTTAAAACGAACAGTAAGTTTGATAATTCAACAGAGGTCACATTAAAAAAGTGACGCCATTGAGTCAGAAGTCCCGTCAGTCAGTTTGCCACGGAGTCCTCTTGTTGCCTTAGAGCCCTTTCGCCCCTCCACCTGCCCAAGGACTCTCCTGGGAGGGCAGTGGGGGTCCGTGGTTAATCATGGCTTAGCTCTGGGATTAACTCTTTAAACTGGGCGAGAGAGAGGATATTGGTGTGCCCTGGCTATCAGGAATCAGTGTCACGAAATGTATTAATGTATGTACTTGTAGTATGTCAGTGTGCATGGGTGAAGTAACACTAGAGGACAATCCAGGGAAGGGGAAAGCACAAAATAAAGCACAAACAGCAGTATTTCTTCCCCATGAGTGATATGATGGCTTCTAACTGAAGTATGCACACAAATTCTTCTAAGTGTCAAAAAAAAAAAAAGTGCGTGTATATGCATGCGTGTTCATGTGTCTGAAAATGTGCTTATATTTTTCCGTCTTTGTGAGAACTTGACATTTGGCAATTGAATCTTTCCGTGAAGGCTTTTCCTTCCTTCTGGTTTCCTTTCTGTGTGACATTTTAGAAGCACTGGCAGAAAATACTGACAATCTTCCTGATGCAGGTTGCCAGATGGTGAATATGCCTGTTTGATAACAAGGACTCCTATGAAGGGTTGCAGTGTTCTGTGAACGATGACCATTTAAAAGAAGAAAAAAAAAAAAAAAAAAAAAAAAAAAAACACCCCATAGTGCAGAGATGGGGGTGGGTAAACCCTTCAGTGGTGAGTTTCCATGTTGACGTGATGCTAAGTATATCCTTCTGTACCAGGTTGCCAGATTGGAGGAGAGATGGATGAATGTCTGGGGTGATTACAGAGTACCCGTGCAACTGGTTGAACCAAACATCCTGGTTTTTAGAAATTAAACTCCTTTGTTTGCATGTTGGAAGCTGGATCAAAATTGAAGGTTCCTCCTTGAGTAGTTTCAGGAATCAAGCTAGGATCTTCATCAATCTGAAAAAAAAGAACAAACATTGTAAGATCAAATGCTAGAGTAAGACATTGCCCAAAAAGGAAAACAAATCCAAAATAACAGAAAGTGAGACGCATGGTGGCGGTTAACTCACATCGTCTCCTGAAAAGTACTGATCAATAATCTCAAAGGCTAGTTTGTAGATATCCTCATTCTCATGCTGCTGCAAATTTTCTATCTTCTCCAAACCTGAAAAAGACAAAACAACAGTTTTAGAAACAAACATTATAAAAAACTTCAGTAAGATAAACAATCCAATTACACCAAGTTTCTAAGAGGGTACAAGGAAACCATCAAACACAGACCTCCACACTCCTCTATGATCTCAGCAATAGTACTGGCTTCATCTCCTGCCATGATGAGAATATTTTTCAGGCCATCCA